GGCCGAAACATGTGTGGCTCCCGAGCATTAACATATGCATTTGTGTATGGTGAAAATATGGCTAATATTTTTTAGGAGATTTTTGCCCACCCAAACATATTGAGCTTTTCCACCCTTCGCGCGCGCTTTTAGTGGCAGAATTTCACTCATCCACAAGTGCTGACTCTTCACAAATTTTCCCACAATTTTCTCCCCAAAATGCGAGAGGTGAAAATGTAGTTTACGTTTTATTTGACTTCTTCATGCAATGACCATTGTTATTATTATCTCGAGAATTTATACATATGCCGCCACACAGTCCCACTTTGGGGATGGGAATTTTTGGGGAATAAAAGTTCGAGTGGTTGCACAGAAATTCCCTCTCTTTTGCTCTCTTTATCGACGCAGTGAGAGTGAGAGAGAGAGAGAGGGTGGAAAATATTCACCAATTCCATGAATAGCGCAAAATCATCAAATTTCACAATGAAATATATTTTCAATTCCGCACTCGGGCTTTTTTCCGCCCGGCCGGAGCTTTCGGTGCCATTTCCGCTGCCACATAAATACCTCAGCCCCCTAAACAAATGTATAAATAAAGGATAGATTTATCTCATTCAACTGGACCGAAGCTGCATGACAAAACAACTCCAACGTGGCCGTGCATTGAATTGTTTGGCGCGTTGGTCGAAAGAGTTGGAATTTCATGTGATACAAAATTTCTCCATTTTACTCTATTTGCCCATCTGAGAAAATCGTCTGACTTTTCGCCGTAAAACACTTTGAATTCGCACGAATTTTCCGGTCATTTGCTTCGAGAGGAAGCAAACTTTCATTCAAAATTAGAATCACTGTATTTGCAATATTTCATACAGACTTCTAATTATAAATTCTCTCACCGCAACTTTGTACAATTATAAACACGTGCGTGTGCAGCGAAAACATCCACATTTCCGCCAAAGATTGTGGCAATTTGGTTGAATTTTTCAATGCCAAAAAGCACAATCAAAAATTTCCCATCAAAGCGCAATTTATTGGTGTTTAAAAGGGATTCAGCGGAAGTGGAATGACAATCGGTTCACGGAAGAGCGCGGAAATGTTGCTATAACAATCAACCCAGGCGCCATTGTGTCTCGTCAGTTAAAATTCCATCATTAATCTCCTATTGGATTGTGTTTGTCACGTCCAACAATTCGGTCGCCCACGCATGGGATTCTCAGACGATTTTCCGTGCCAAATTTCCTTGGCACTCAACTCGAAATTTTCGGGATTTCCACTGTGAATGGATGGCGAATGAGGCGCGGTATAATTTCTGCATTTCGCTATAACTTGAAAATGAGAGTCATTGCAAATTCACAGAGTTTCTACAATTTTCCACGGAATTATTGTGTAGGTATTTTTGAGTAAATTGTCATGAAAATTCAAGAGGAATTCAAAAATGAAACATTCTCTATGTATACAATGGGATTAAGGCTTTTGGGAAACGATTTTTCCGCAATTCAGGCGTTCGCAGAGCATTTTATATAGTTTTGGGGTGCAATTTAATTATTATCAATCACCTTTTGGTCTGTGTGAATGCTGTGAAAGTCAAAAGTCACCCGATTTTGGCTCACAAAATACACAAGGGTGGGTTTTTGTCACTCTTCTGGCGATACAACCAAGCTGATAGCGCATGAAAAATTGTCGTTTTCACCTAAATAATGATCAAGTGAATTCATTGAAAAATGGATTTGGCAAAATCGATAAATAATATCACCCAGAATTCTTCGCAGCCTCCCTTTTTTCCTGTCCACAGAGACTCCACAAAAACACGCCACATCGCTCAGCGCCGGCATGCGGGAATTCTAGTTATGTGAACTTGGGAAGCGCTTCGGTGTGTGAAAATTTACAAAAGCACGGGGAGGGTCGTTGGTATTCATGGGGGTGGATTTTTGTCAATATGAGCACACGGGTGCGCTTCTATGGAGTCATATTTTAAGATAGCATCAGCTGAAGATAGGCACCATTTAGCGGTGATCAGTCATTCACATTTGAATGAAAATGGGGGCTCGAGACTCCCTTTCCTGCCGTCGACACGATCGTGATTACCCTCCTGACGAACTCTGCACGAGTGTCGCCAAGATAAAACTCTAAGTGGGCCATTGTGCACACGAAAGGGTTGCTGGGAAGAATTTCTGCACACGATAGTGTCACAGGTTGGCCCAATTGAGCTGCCACAACGCCTTCAACGCTCTCATTTTTCCAATTAATTTATCTCATATTTCTTAGCGTGAAATTAAGAAAGTTTTGCAACAATAAATAACCACAAAAGGGTTTTTTTTTTACTACTTTTAAGAACATTTCGTCGCTTGATATTGAAAAATTTACGACCTTTGCAATATAAAACGACGAGAAATAATTCTTTTCAATAAAAACAATGATTTTCACCCCTATTTTTGCCATAATTTCCCCTATAAATGATACTGAAAAATTAGCGGTCGTTGCAACTTTAAAAATTTCGTTTTTCAATTCGTAAAAGCTATGAATTTGGATTTCAACTTTACAAATTTCACAGCTTATATTGGTGGCCGTCTGGTGGCGCTACTGTAAAGTATGAATTAAATACGAACAAAATGGCTCTTCAAGGCAAAGTTGAGAGTTTGTTTAATACAAATTTCAGCTGTTAAGCGCGAAAAATGAATTCAACAGAGCGAAATTCACAAAACGTCTTCATCAAGATGGGATTCTTGAAGGATTCTGCTGGTCAAGATGTCCAGGAAGCTGTCTTCTCTGTGACATTTCAACACAGTCGTATTTTCGTGCGTGTCACGACATTTGGTGCATTGAAAAGTACACAAAAAACCCGAATTCAAGTGTTAATCAACTTAAAAATACATTATTATTTGTTAATTTCATAAATCATCATAAATATTATGAAAATAATGTTGCAACGACCCGTAAATCTCTCAAGTACAAAAAAGAAGTGACAAAATACACGAATGCAACTCAACTACTATCGATTTCTCATCAAACTTCCTCTGCCGAACCGCCAATTTCTCATTCTCAATTACCAAATTATATCAATCAATTAGCAAAGATCATAAATGCTTTATGAGCTGCTCTTCAACTTGACTGCCATGCAGTGCACTTAAGCATTTCTGGGAAGCAGAACTCTTGTGGCCTCACGATGGGTGGTAATTGGGAAGTTGTTGCTGAGGCATTTCGCTGGAATATTGCTCCACATCTCTTTCCATATGTTAAAATCTATCATAATTACGGTGGGGAAACTCTTGGCTTCGCTGTGTCGAGAGTAATTGCGGGGAGATATTTTTTTTTATGAAAGAACGACCACATTAAAAGTAATATGTATTAATGTCAGTAAAATTCCGCATATATTCCCATGGAAAATACGATGTTGGAAGTTGCGGATTAGACGCACAGCGCGTGTGTGTGTGTGTATAAACATTCACCTCCTGATGAAAGGCTCGTAAAAGCGCTGTAGGTAATAAAAATAAAAACATTATTATTATAACGTGAAGGCAGCTCCTTTAATAAGTCAAATAAATCTCTTCAGCTAAATTAATTTTATTTCCAATATAAGATTATATTTCCCCCCCCCCCCAACCCCGAAGCCCCGAAGAAGAACTTCTGCCCCTGCACGAGCTTCGCAACCCTAAAAGCGTGCACATATTCGCCCCCGAGGAGAGAGAGTGAGTCTGGCGGGAGACAGATCCAAGAGCCACCCCTGAAACTGGGTGTGTTCCCTCCAATATTGCCATCGGAGACAGGGGCGGAGGAAGCCCAGTGTGTTGATGTGGACGGACGGGCGAAATTGTCGGGGGGTGGAAAGAGGGTGAGAGCAAGTCAGTAACAGTATTGATTTGTTATCACTGACGTCGAAGGCTCTCACTCGCACATCTTCAGCTCCAGAGGCAATCCAGAAGAAACACTCAAGACACATTAAATCTAATCCTATGTGCTTTTACTGCAGAAAGTTCTTTCGAAAGTAGCCCCATATATTATTTATGATTATGGCAACTGCCTTTTAACTTGGCTCATCTTATCGACAGTTTTGTCTCAACTGGCGAAGGAGTATGACTTGAATTTTCAATGCAAATCATTCTCATTGTGCAATACATAACACACAATATCATCTCAAAAACCACCCCTTTTTGACTCACGGAGAGTTTGTGGCATAAAAAAAAGGGAAATTTATAACATTGCCAGTGGAAATGGTCTGAAAAGAATGAATTCTCCGCTCTCTTTTGCAAGAGATATTGTGGATGGGTGAGAAAGAACACGAGCGCAGCTAAGATAGTTTTTCGGGGTTGAAGAAAGTTTCAATTTAATATATATACACATTGCATTTTCACGGCAAATTCAACTTAAAAGTTTCTGGTAAATAAATTTCATATTCAGGTGAAAAATTCAATTATTCACTCGTGAATCATTTATCATTCTCTAAAGTCGTACATTTGTGGAAATTTTTGAGAAATTAGACAACTTCCTCAATTCCAACAGCCAAACAACGATGGTAAGAAATGCTCTTGAGAGAAAAAGAAACTGAACAGGTTATCATTGTACAGGTGTAAGAATTATTCTTCTCAAGCATGCTTTTGACACTTTCACTCACTTTTTTTTCGTCCTTTCGTCCTGCGAGTGGGAAAAGCAACATTGGCTTTTCCACCGTCAACTGATTTGTCACTCAAGAGGAAATCACTGGCATCCACAAACCCCTCTTTCAGGGTTATTTCTCCCAACCCCAAAAGTCGCTCATAGATTTATTTTGTGATTGAACGAGAAATATTAACTTTTCGTCGTCAAAATGGCATTTTGCTCAGCACTAAAAATTTCCTCTTAGCCTCTGGTTGAATGACAGGATTAAGAGTTAACATGGAACAAAAATGTCTCATGTCCTTTTATTAAATGTAAAAGCTTCCATTAAGTTTAACGACTTTCACCCTCGCCCTATGCACAAGCTAACGTGCTCTTTCTCTCTCTCTCTCTCTCTCCCGCCCTCTTCACCCCCCGTGACAACCCCACAGGTTTGATGTTCTGGTAAATGGCGGCGGAGCTGTTACCTTGCAATTCCAGCGATCACCCTTCCGTCCGCTGACGCGCACGGTCTTCGTGCCCTGGAATCAGGTGAGTTTCACGGATGAACACAGATAAAGTGGGCGCGTGAGCCCCCCAAAAGAAGGGTTTGTTGAGGGTGGAAAAACAAGCACAAGAAGTGCCATTAAAGTTAACGGGGTTCTTACTCAAATGAATTTTATATTTCCCCTCCGCAGATTGTTGTTTTGCCACCTGTTCAGATGCAACTCAGCGAAGATGAGGAACACTTGCGTCCACTCATAAAGTATGCACTTTATTATTTTTCTCAACACTGTCGCGCGCGCGCGCGTGTTTTTTTCATATTCACTAACTGTTATGGCTTGTGAAATGAAAGTCACAAAAAATTATGTCACAAGCCGAGCAGTTTTGAGGACGAAAGTTTGCACTGTGAAGAAGATTTGACCCAAGGAGGAGATAATTTCACTGAAATCCGTACAGATATTCCCAAATTCTCCATAAACTGTGAGGTTTTGAGCTGAATATTTAATTAGAAAGAGAATTTTCCCCAAATAAATATTGAAATATTGATTTTCACTTTTAAATACCAAAAATTGAATCTTTTTGACAAATTATTCTGAATATTTCATTAAAACTTTAAATCAAAAAAGCAAAAGAGTCACAAAAATTGCCCTCTGGCGGCAATATGTGAAGAAAAACATATCAAATATTTAATTTTGATAAAATATTTAGAAAATAATAAAATGCATTTTTTGGTACAATCAAAAAAAGATTGAATAATCATAAAATTATGGTCTGAAATCACAAGTAACTTTCCTCTTAGAAAAATTAATGTTTTTACGTTAAATTTCTTACTATTCTTTAATAAAACATTTAAAAAAAATAACTATAAAGTTTATCAGTAAAGTTTTAGGACTAAATTGTCTAAGAAATTTGCTTAAAATCGCTGTTTCTTCATAACTATTTTGGTTATAAACCAAGACAAGATCTTTAAAAATACCGCTTGAAACATTGTAAGTACAAAGTTATGTCTTAAACACAAAAATTGATATTTTTTTAGGTTATGTAACCATTGAACATAGACTTTTTTTTATCATTATCTCCTTCTTGGAAAAATCTAAATTTTCAATCTATTCAAAGCTCTCTTTGGCCATAAATTTGTCTAACTCGGTAAAATTCGGATTTATCGCCTAAACTTTTCGCCGTGCATTCTTTCCAATACACGCCGTTGGCGGACCTTTGGCTCTGTGTTGTGACCCCAAAAATGCTGCAATATTAATAAATTTCCCACCTCTGACGTGCCCAAAACAGGATCACACCACCGAATCCGGCGTTCAGCTTCCTCAACACCATCCTGTACCACTTCACGGACGAAAGTGTCCCGCCGGGAGTTGTCTGTCTCGAGCACGACCATGAGCTGCTGAAACCACAATTGTTCGGGACATGGATGCCAAATGGTGTGGGCGCCATGGCTGGTCATCGCAACATTTTCGCAGAGACTCAGGTAGGCGCACTGGGACGACCCCACACACACTCCCTCCTGGCCAGGCCGCATGAGTAATTGCAGGACATCAAAGTTTCGGGGACAGTCTGTGGTGGTGGGGGAAAATCAATTGCGAAGGGAAATTGTACAAATTCTCAGGCACTCTGAGAAGTCAGTGTTTAAATTAATTTTCCACTATCGTGTAATATTTAATTAGGCACATTAATAACCCCTCAAGTCGTCTGTAATTTCCATGCCAACTCTCTCCCCGGGAGATGGTCTAGAATCAATCATACAATAATAGCGTCAGGGGGCAAATAAGTGTCCTCCACAGGCAATCTTGAGTGGCACAATTGATCGGCAATCGACACGAGTTTAAATGACACCAAAAACATCAATTTTTACCTTGAAAAACATCAATTTTTCACTGAAACAGTGAAAATTTAACTATAAAAATATTAAACTTGCTATAATCGGTTAAATTCTTGAAGAAACCTTCCCTAAATTCAATTTCTTTCGATTATAAGATCCATTTTTTCCGTATTTTCACTTAAAACAATGCGAAATAACACTGTGTAGAAGAGAGATTCGTGATTGTCACAATTATTCACCCCTTAAAGGAGTCTTAGAAGTCTTCACGACGATTAGAGACTTAGCATCTTGTCTTGCTTAAAATTTTGACAAATTCATTTATTTCCGCCAAAACCACGAGAGAAAATCAATACACACTTCATCTCATGCTTCCATGGAAGCCACATTGAAGTGGTGAAACGCTTCCAATATTTTCTCCAATCATCCTCAACTTTGCATCGTGCCGAAGATACACAACCGCGCGATAAAATCTCACTTCCCAGAGCGATAAAGTCTTAATAGAAAAAAAAACAGAGCAGGAGGAGGAGGATGAAGAAGAAGAGGAGAAGCGAATGTTGGGAGCAATAAAAGAGACGCAGAGGAGCTGAGAGTACATAATTCAGGAAATTAAAAAGAATCCGAGCCAGTGCGTGTGGGACGGATGAGAAGGGATCAAATATGGTCATGGCGAGTATCCCTGAGAGGATGGGGGGGGGGGGGGAAGGATACATAATTTACACACACACACAGAGCGCCCCCGAACATAAAATGCCAATGTAAATTTCCCACTCACTTCTTCAGCAGCCCTTCCGATACAATAACAACCACCACCGCCCAAATTGGGGCTCTCGCTCTCTCTCTTTCCCTCTTGCAGATTGTTCAGGAATCTGTGCAAATCCCCGGCTCAGGCCTACACTTGACGTACCAATCATCTCAAGCGCCCGGCTACCTGAGCATCGTGCGGATGCGATTAACGAAGGCCACAATCCCACCGACGTTAACACATGTGCACGTGGGGGTGGAGATTGAGGGCTCTCTGCACGTGAAGACGTACGAGGCCGACCCCAATTTGACGCACACCTTCGCGTGGAACAAGCGCAACGTGTACAAGCAGAAGGTGTACGGCGTGTCACTGGCCCGCATCAGCGTCGGCTATCAGCACTCCACGTGCAAGGAGCCCGTATGGGAGACGCAGACCGCCAAGCTGCAGGGCTTCGACGTGGACATCTCGGACATCGGCGGCTGGGGCCTGGACATCCACCACCACTACAACTTCCACGAGGGCATCCTGCAGAAGGGCGACGGCTCCACGCTGCACATGAAGGAGTATCCGCGCACCGTGAAGGTCGTGATGGGCACGGGTCTGCAGCGGCCGCTCAACTGCGGCAAGGACTTCTGCAATGGCATCGCCAAGGACGCCAAGCTGCTCACGCCCGTGGCGCTGACGTCGGGTCCTGACGGAAGTCTCTTCGTCGGGGACTTCAATCTCGTCCGCAGAATCACGCCCGAAGGGAAGGTTTTCACGGTGCTGCAGCTGAGCGCCACGCAAGTCTCCTACCAGTACTACTTGACCGTCTCGCCGGCCGATGGACATCTGTACATCTCCGATCCCGAGCGCCATCAGATCCTCAAGGTCCTGTCCGTGGACGACGTCAGCAATCCGATCAGCAACAGCGACATTGTCGTCGGCAGTGGACAACGATGCATTCCAGGTGAGAACGAGCAAGAAATATTGCTAATCAATCGGGTCTTGCACTAACAAAGTCAAGCACAGTTAACGTGAAGCAGGAATTAAGAATCCTGCAGTCAAATGCACTATTCTCCCCTTTAAGAATGGGGGAAAATGCTGGGCTTTGATGTGTGCGGAAAAGTCCAAAAGAACGACAGTCAATTGAGCAGAAAAGCGGAGTGAATGCGAGAGAAGCACTCTGTTTAATGGAATATTTCCTCGGCGGGGGTGAGAATTCTACAAAGCGTTCCCATTAATTGCAGGTGACGAAGGTAATTGCGGCGACGGGGGTCCGGCCAAGCTGGCTCGCCTCTCCCACCCGAAAGGCATTGCCATAGCAGCCGACAGGACCATGTACATCGCCGACGGGACGAACATCCGCGCCGTGGACCCGAAGGGCGTCATCCACACGCTCATCGGCCACCACGGCCACCACAACCACTGGAGCCCGGCGCCGTGCGAGGGCGCGCTCCTGGCCAGCCAGACGCAGCTCCAGTGGCCCACCGGGCTGGCGCTCAGCCCCCTGGACGGCTCGCTGCACTTCATCGACGATCGCCTGGTGCTGAAACTCACCGCCGACATGAAGATCAAAGTCGTGGCGGGGACGCCGCTGCACTGCAACGCCAACGCCGACAAGAACAAGACCACCACGGATGACGTGCTGGGCACCGTGCTGGCCATCGCCTTCTCCCCGGCCGGCGACCTCTATGTGGCGGACTCTGACTCCCGGCGGGTCAACTCCATTCGCACCGTCGACACTTCCGGCAAAATGAGGTCGTTTGCCGGCAAAGTGGACAGCACAACGTAAGTGAAAGAGCTTTTGCGCTTCGTGTGTGTTTTCGTGAAAATTTCACCACCAACACCCAATCTTCCCTCAAGCTTTCCCTTCATTCTGTCGCTCTGACTGAAGATAGAGTCTCTGAGTCCCATTTTACTACCTAAATAATCCCTAAAGATGCTTCCTTGGATGCTTCTTAAGCCACAGAAGGAAGAAAGAAATGCTTAATTCAACCTTTACTTGAAAGGGTTGTTTTAAGCACTCTCTCTCTCTCTCGCTCGTGATTCTGCAAAATTGTGTGGAAATATTGTGAAGTGCGCGCGAAACTTTCGCACCCTCAATCAGCTTTTATTCCATTAAATGCGCCACACAGGCGAATGAGTGCCATCGTGTGCCCTCTTGTCCACTCCATTTGCTCACAAAATACCACCAATTTCTTCCTCTTGTCTCTCCTGTTGCTGAGCCACCCTCGCAGCGCTCGCACGATGGCATTTTACGCGTACAATGCCCTCCAATTGCCGGAGAAACACACACACAACACACGCGAGAGAGAAGAGTGTTTGCAAGAAATCAATGGGGCGGAGATAAATCCTTAATGACCCAAATAATTGCAGTCTCCCGAGTTGCGATTGTGGCAACGCCACCACGGCAACGACAACGATGAATCCAGCCCGGAGCGGAAGCGCCGGAAATCCCGGTGCACCTTCAGCCCCCGCGGCCACAGCCTGCTCCTGCCCACCCTTCAACGCCACCAGCGTCACCACGAGCGGCTACGGCGACGAGGCGCCGACGAGCAACGCGGAGACGCTGCTCTCATCCAACGCGCGCTTCCAGGCCATCTCCGCCATTGCTGTGTCGCAGGACGGCGTAATCAACGTTGCCGATCAGGGTGAGTGATTTGCTTGCAACGGAATGTCGCATTTATCGCCCTTTCTTTGCACCCAAAACCACCCACGAGCGCGCTCACTGGGTGGCAACGATGGCCCACTTTGGGTGAATTTATACACTCGCGCGAGAAACAACTCGAATATCCATTATTAATGCAGGCGGAAACATTTGGATTTCGCCTGTTGTGGGCGAAGATAAAAGGAAAACACTGCTGCAAATGAAGAGGTCACTCTGAAGGACTGTGAAATCCTTTTTCACTACACTCAGAGGAAAATCGAGCCTCAATTCCAAGAAATCTAATTACTTTTTTTTTTCAAGATCATTTAATATTTCCGAGTGTAATATTTTTACGCTCTCTTGTTCATATCAAAAAGCACGACTAATGATGTTAAGTAAAGCTCTCAGTCGCAAATGGAAAGCTCCGGAGTGTTTGTTCGCAGTGTTGCTCGCGAGTTTATGTTGCGCGGAAAAAAGGCACCCTATTAATCACTTGAGCGTGACTCATTTCTTCTATTCTCTCCCTCTTTCTCTCTCTGCAGGATCTCTGCACATTTTGGCACTGCAGCATTATCTGCCGAGTCACGACATCAACGGCGAGTTCCACATTCCCTATCCGCCCACGAGTGAGGTGTACGTGTTCAATCGATACGGACAGCATGTGGCCACGAAGGATCTGGCGTCGGCCAAGACGCGCTACTCCTTTCTCTACTCCAAGAACACCAGCTTCGGCAAGCTGTCCACGGTGACGGACAGCTCGGGCAACAAGATCCAGTTCCTGCGCGACTACAGCAACCTCGTGAGCTCCATCGAGAACACGCAGGACCACAAGTCCGAGCTGAAGATCAACAACGTGGGTCTGCTGGCCAAGCTGACGGAGAAGGGCAAGTCCGAGATCGAGCTGGACTACGACACGACGTCCGGGCTGCTGAACAGCCGCTCCGGCGGCGGCGAGACGTACATCTACTCGTACGACGAGTTCGGGCGCGTGATCGGCCTGATCCTGCCCACGGGCGAGACCGTGTCCATCGGCTCCAGCCTGGCGGCCGACGTGGGCCTGGCCGTGCAGGTGCGGGCGCCCGTGCAGAGCCTGTTCGCCGGGGACCAGCACGAGCGCAGCGATATGCTAATTGTGGGTGGGATTAAGTCACTGACAATGAGCAATGGGGTGGAAAAGACCGTCGCCCACATCAACACAAACAACACCCTCTCCATCGCCACGCCAAACAATATGGTGATTGAGTCGGCAGCCGCAGCAAGACACCCCCTCCTGGAGGCCTCTCTGCCCGTGGAGGCGGAAATGCTGCCGATGTGGTCACAGCAGACGGTAACAATGGGTGATGAGCTAATTAACACCATGTATTCATCGTACAGCCTCGTTGGGGACGTTCGCAATCCGCAGCAGACACTCAATCACGAGCTCTTTGTCAACAATTCCCGGGCGTTCGGGGTGGAGTTCGACCAGTTCACCAGCAGGGAGACATTCTTCGACCGCGACCGACAGCCCATCCTCACCATCGCCTTCGATCCCAGCGGCCAGCCGCAGTCCTACCACCCCGCCGCCGTCGGCCACCCGCTCAACATCTCCTACGACCGCTTCAACCGCATCGACGGCTGGACCTGGGGTCCGTCCGAGCTCAAGTACACGTACGAGCAGCACGGGCTACTGTCGGAGATCACGAGCCAGCAGGACGGCACCGTGAGCTTCGTGTACAACGACCTCAACCTCGTGTCGGAGATCGGCCTGGCCAGCCAGCGCAAGATCCTCTTGGCGTACGACGAGGACGGTGGCCTGCGCCACGTCACGCTGCCCAGCGGCACGAAGCACTCCTTCAGCCTGCAGCCCTCCATCGGCTTCATCCGCTGCACCTACACTCCGCCCGGCAGCACCAAGCCCTACCTGCAGCACTACTCGCACAGCGGCGCGCTGCTGCAGACCGTCTTCCCAGGTAAGTCGCCCGTCAATCACGCCCTCACAAGGTGGGAAACTGTTGCCGATGTGATGTAACCGGGAAAATACCCCAAAGCTTTGAAATTATGGGGTGTTTTAAGTGACAAACAGTGAAAAGAATGCATTTCTTGCTCACTGTCAAGGACTTTCGAAGTGTTAAAGATCCTGCACGCAAGGTGTGGTGTACATATTTCTACCATTTCATCCTCCCCCTTGCATTGACCCAATTCTCCGGCACTCTTTGTTCGTCCACCTCTGCTAACTAACACGGAATTTAGCAATGAAAAATGTCTTCATAAATCTCCTCCGCTCCAGTCTCGGTCCTTTGTCATGCAGAAATATCCTGGCAAATAGTTGCAATTGAAGACTCTCCTAAATCACGACGGTGATTAAAGCTGCGAATGTCCTTTTTTCAGGTGATGGCGCACGCATTGTCTATCGCTACACGCCAACGGGTCAATTGTCCGAGGTTGTGCACGGCGACGGCCGTAGTGAGTTCATCTACAACGCCCTGACTGGGATGCCGAGCACCGTGGGTCACGTGGAGCGTGAGCTGGAGTACAGATGGGACTTTGAGTACACGGGAGTTCTGCTCACCGAGGAGCGCATCGACTTTTCCGCCAAAACTGGACTCAGCAATGCAAAGTTCTCCTACGATTACGACTCCAACTTCCGCCTCACGTCCATTCAGGGGCGCATTGGCGGTCAGAATCTGCCCGTGCAGACGTTCACGTACAGCAGCAAGACGGGAGCGCCTGAGGAGATCGGGCAGTTCAAGGTGACGCATCCCAGACCGAATCAGACTTCCGTGTTTGACGGCACAGCCATCTTCTCGCGCACCATCAACGGCCAATTCCTGGAGACACAGATGTCCGTCACGATCCACCGCATGGAGGTGTTCCGCATGGAGTTCGCGCACGACATGCACGGCAGGATCTCGCAGACGAAGACCTACACGAGGAATGTGGGCGTCAACACGTACACCAACGTGAAGAACTTCACGTGGGACTGCGATGGGCAGCTGATTGGCGTGGAGGCGCAAGAGCCGTGGGGCTTCCGCTACGATGACAATGGGAACATGCTCTCCCTGACCTACAGAGGCAACACCATCCCGATGGAGTACAGCGGCATGGACAGGATCATGAAGTTCGGTGAGGGTCAGTACAAGTACGACAGTCGCGGTCTCGTGGCGCAGAATGCGCGCGAGGAGAAGTTCCACTACAACACGCAGGGTTTGCTGGTCAGGGCGACCAAGCGGGGGCGCTTCGACGTGAAGTACTACTACGATCACCACAATAGACTGTCCACCAGGAAGGACAACTTCGGCAATGTCACGCAGTTCTTCTATAACAACCAAGATCGCCCGGACGAAGTCAGCCAGATCTATTCGCCGCGCGACGGGAAGCTGATGTCGCTCACGTACGACGATCGCGGGCACTTGATCTACGCTCAGGTGTACAGGCACAAGTACTACGTGGCGACGGATCAGTGCGGAACGCCCGTGATGATCTTCAATCAGTACGGAGAGGGAATTCGCGAGATCATGCGATCGCCATACGGACACATCGTTTACGACTCGAATCCGTATTTGTATCTCCCGATCGACTTCTGCGGTGGCATTTTGGATCAGGTAAAGCACTTTAACCAGAAAATTTACAGGGAAAACTTTATTCAACACATTTTGCGCTCTTTTCAGGTCACTTCCTTGGTCCACATGCCCAACGGGAAGGTGTATGATCCTCTAATTGGGCAGTGGATGACTCCTGATTGGGAGAACGTGGCTGAGCGCGTCCCAACGCCCACGAAGCTCCATCTCTATCGCTTCAACGGCAACGATCCCATCAACATTGGCCACGACAGGAATTACCCGGTGGATCACAGCGCCTGGCTGGACTTGATGGGCTACAAGGTGAACAACATGATGCCGCAGCTCAACCAGAAGCTCTGGCGTCCGCCGAACGCCTGGGGCCGCGCCAGCGACTTCACGCCCATTCCCGTGCCCAACAAGCTGGACTTCAGCGGATCCCCGAGCGTTCAGGTGGAGAGTGGTTTCCTGGCTCATCTGGCGCTCAGGCGCGCGTCCAGCGTGGAACAGTTGTCTGCGCCGCCCGGCTCGAAGCTGAAGCTGGACGTGATGCAAGTGGCGCCGAGCAAGATAGGCGCCGCCTCGGATCCGCCCTTCGGCCGGGGCATTGTCGTGTCGCGCTCATCCCTCGGCCAGGCCATCGTGTCGAGCGTTCCCGCGGCGAATGCCATCTACAGGGATGTGTACACGTCCGTGTTCAATCGCTCCCACTTGCTGCCGATCACGTTTGTGGTGCACAACAGCCAGCAGGACTCGTTCTTCTTCGTGAAGGAGGACGCGTGGCGCGCCAGCGAGGACAGGCAGCAGCTGAAGCGCCTGCAGGGCCAGGTCAACACCACATTCCACGAGATCGCGCGGGAGAACGGCAGCGGCAACAACTACCTGGACGTGAAGATCCACGGCGCGCACACGGTGATCAATCTGCGCTACGGCACGACGGTGGAGAAGGAGAGCCAGCGACTGATGCACCACGCCAAGCTGACGGCGGTGCGCAAGGCGTGGCACAGGGAGAAGGAGGCGCTGCGCAACGGCATCGCCACGGCCGTGGAGTGGAGCCAGGCGGAGAGTGATGAGATCCTGAAGCAGGGCTACGCCAATCTCTACGAGGGCGAGTACATCCACGATGTGGGCAAGTATCCGGAGTTGGCGGAGGATCCGTACAATGTGCGCTTCGTGAAGAAGAAAACCAACCAAATACGACGGCGTCGACGAAGAGACATTGACTGCAGTGGGCGGCAATGTTAGCCTAAAACCACCCCCTCATTTCGGCGGCACTACAGGAAGATCCCAACTTTGGGAATAGACACAAATCTAGAGCCCAAGTAAGAGATATTATATTGTATAAAGGATATTAACCCACAATATATTGTATTAGATGGAATGGTTAAAGAGTGAAGAGAGAAGAGTAGTTTGATAAAATGTGGACATTGAAATTTTAAACTAAAAGGAAGAAGAAAAAAATGGTGATTCGAGCTTTTGAGACTGGCGTCATTTCATCCAGAACCAATTAATTGTAATTTAACGCAACAACAAGAGAAATTATACTTTAAACGTATAGGTTTTAGGATACACATCTTAACAATGATACTATAATTGATATTTATGAGAGAATTTCGTCAACATATTCAATGTATAAAAGTAGATTGAACCAGATTGATATCAATTGAGGTAATGAGCCAAAAAAAACATAAATAAATGTGTAAATTTTGGTATTACATTGACTAAAAAGAAAAAAACAGAGAAGCACTTTTAGAGGCGTTCATTTGCGGGGCAAGAAACCCGCTTCTCTCCAGCCATTCTTTGACAAAACTGAGAGAACTTTTTAAGAGAGATTTAGAAGAAATCAACGTGAAGTTATAGAGAAGATGTTGCCAAATACACCCACTAAAAGTAAACTTTAAAAACTTATATTGAATAAAAAAAGAAAAATGTTAGAAGAGAAATTTTGCGAATATTGCTGAAAATTGCGTCAAGTCTCTTGCATGATGTTGATGAAGAGGGATTTAAATGTTTCAATGAGAGATTCACTATGTATAGGTTTAATATTTGTAATATAGAAATTCACTGTAAATATTTATTCTTCACACGAATAATCTTAGTGAGTAAAAGCGAGAGAGAAAGTCAACCCAGTGAAATCCCATGCAAATGTGAAAAGAGGTGAAAAATGTTGGGCAAAAAGTGTATGTAAAATGTAAATGTTCTATTGATAATGTTAGGATTATAGGACATAGTTATAAATGAGGCTACAAGATATTCACTATTGATTATTGATTCATTGTATGACGATTTCTTTGCCGCATTTTCCTGTGTAAATATTACTTCATCTTTTTTCACTCACTCGTGCAAAATCATTTCAATTCTCCTTCACTTCTCAGCATTTCAGAGCTTTCCAAAAATCTTCCTAGACTTCCTATAATTTGCTTTATGCCATTCTGAAGTTGCTATAAATCTACACGCTCCCTCACATTAATAAGAAACACAAGGAAATATAAGAATTTAACAAGAATAGTAAATTAATGGTGCCATTGATGTGTTACAATTTGAGTGAACAAGATTCCGCCGCATTTTATAGGACACGAGAACTGAAGGGATGATGTAACTATTCAGCGAATTTTCCAATTTCCGTTTTTTTTTTCTTTCTCTTAAGTGAAAGCAACTTTTCCTAAAAAAATCCGCCTAAGGGCTCAACTCGTTGGCATTTGCAATGTACACTAAACTAGAGCTTCAAGTTCTTCAATTTATTTGCCATAAAATATGGCTTCCGTAACGGATTTCAGTTCACTTTCATCACACATACAGAAACACTCAGAAAAATTGCTCTAATTGCGCAAGTTGATAAAATTGTACGAAAGCTGAAGCGTTTAGAGTGGCAAAAAAAAAAACATAGTTTAGAACATAGACTTTATGCAGTAAATATCAGACTTACATATTACAATTATAAGTGGAAGTAAAACAAGTTGAAATGCTGTAACTTTTTTGTGTACAACAACGTTGAAAAAAAAAACAAGGCCCGGATTTGGGGTGGAAAGCGTTGTACGTTTATAGAGTCAGAGGGAGAATAAAAAGGGAGACAATTCCATGTAAAAAAAAAAAAGGAAGAAGTCAGGCAGAATGCGAAGAATTTGCAAAGAAAAACTGCCATTGACGCAAGGAAGATAGAAAAAAAAACACGATGACACGGTGAGAGGATTACTGATAGTATTAAAAAAAAATGGATATAAAATAATGATTCAATAACATATTGAAGGTATTAAAGAAAATCAATATAGAGTCGTACACTGTATATTTATTTTTATAAAATAGGAAAAGATTCTGACGATCGAGGCGATGAAAAACTACAAATTTCACCAACTGCGAACGATGATGAACATCAAAATTTAAAAACTGAAAGACAGAAGAAGCATTAAAAGATTAGAAGGAAAGTTGTTGCTAAACCACGAGGAAAAGTGAGAAGAGGAGAGAAAAAAAATTGGAAGGAGTAGAAGAAAACATATATGTATTTGTATTATATTTAAATCAATACAATGGATATTTTATCAAAGAATGGGAATTTATCAGTGTAAACAAAAATAATTGTAATAGTCCAAAAAAAAAGTTGATGAGAAAACATGAAGATAAAGGTTTTAAATGAATAACTTTGATATCAAATCGCTTCATAGAGTTTTTTTATATACACATTAATTAATGACGATGAAGAAGAAAAAGAAGTGGAGAGAAAGAAGATGGAGAGTTGACGAGAGAGAGAGAGAGAGAGAAAAGTATGTAATAATCAAATTGAAAAAAAGCCGTAAATATAAAACATAGAATTATATTGAATGAAAAAGAAAAACAAGTAAAAGAGGAAAGTGAGACACGATTATATAGGAAATATACTGAAATGTCTGCAAAACTCCTTCTTCCCTAGTCACAAATCGATACTCTGACAGAAAAGTCATTGATGAATGGTGAGAAAATGACCAGAGAAATACTCTGAATTGCTGTAACAGTGGTTAAATCTACATGGAATTTAGTTGCAAATAAAGAGAAAACATTAAAGTACTCAAACTTGTCCTCAATTCCATAACTATTTATGTGATATATGTTGTCCTGAAGTTCACTAAAGCCCCTCAAAGCTCTCCCTGCCCTTAAAAATAAAACTATTCCCTTCACACTGCCCTTCACACGCGGATCAAAAAAAAAGCATGGAAGAATAGAAAAAAAAAAGAAGTAAAGACAAGACCAAAAATAGCTCGACTTGGCGAAAAGTAACTAGAAAAGTGTTAAATAAGTGGTTAACGTCCGAATTATTAAGAATATATTGTAAAAGTATTATATAGACAAGAAAAATTACAGCGATTTTTCTTTAACACATAAGTTTATAATTTTTTCTTTGTCAATTTCATTTCATTATTTCGTGCATTGTGAAATTTACAACCTTTTTGTGAATTCAAAATGAAGATGAAAAGTTATGTTGAAGAATAATTTCACGGAGAAAAATCATTAAAAACAACTCATATTTTCTTTGTTGTATATAATCTTAACTGGAATATTATATGAAAACCAATATTAAATATATTTAAACTAGATTAATTTATAATATTGTGAAAATGAGTTCTTTTATTCAATGATTTTCTGTGGTTTCGCACTGAGTTTGAGGATTTTTGCTGTTTAAAAGGTAAGTAAAAGTGTTTAAGAATTCAATTTATATCAATATTCATCAATTTCAAAGTCAGTAAATAATTTATTTGCCTTTTCTGTATCGTTTTTACTTCTGAGTGTTGAAAATACCGGTTTTCACGCGCGTTTTCTATACATTTAGGCGTTTTCTCTCGTTCGAATTGCTCTAGTACTTCGAATTTCCCCTCTTTCGAATTGGATTTCAAGAGTTGTGCGCATGCAAAAGGCACACCCCCACAAAATTGTGCGGCAAAGCCGGACAGCTGATATTATTTTGGGCAAAATAGCTTGGAAAACAGGGCATTTTTCAAGCAAAAATCATTCACATAAAATTAAGATTATGAGAAGAAAATGGTTTTGAGTGAGAAAAGAAATTCTTTTCTGTTATATTCAACGCTTTACAAACAATTAAATTCATGAATTTATTATGCTTCAGCGGATTTACAGTGATATAAATTTCCGCTACCATTAATTTGCAAATCATCATTTTTATTGAGTCTGTCTCACAATGTGGGAGAGAAGAAAGAATCTGAGAAGAGAAATGACAATAAAAATTTATGTATATAAAAATCATGTTTCGCCGCTTTTTTTTATTGCAAAATTCCCCAAAATCGAAAACGCTTTGCTTCTCTTCTTATTCAGGCCTCCAAAGCAAGATTGCGTCACTGGCCCGAAGAGAACATCTTCTGCGGGCTCTTCTTTGGGTCCAATTCAGCGGCAATGATATGCCAGAAATATACGCACATCTTCTGAATAGCTGTATATTGTCCAATTAATGCGAAATATCTTGAGAAGAAATATATGCTGAATAATTTCCAGCAATAATTCCGTTTTCAACAATTTGCCAATCTCAATACAGTGAGCCCAAAATGTGAGGGAAGTAGAGTGGAGAGGACATTGATATATGACTGTTTTGGAGGCGAATTTATTACCGAATGTGTTGCATAAGTTCCTCAAAGTCAAAATAATATGATTAAATCTGCGCTTTTCAAGGTTTCTTCGCCACTTTCGGGTGACTTTTTCTCCAGTTGCACAAGAACTCGAGGAAATTGTGTGTCATTTTCGGGGTTGAGAATGTTTGTACAGAGATTTTCATGACTTTTATACTCACGCAAGGGGGAGATATTTGAGCCAGATGTGGTGTACAGCTCAGTGAAAAGTCTTAAAACTCTTCAGATAAGTGAGATTGTTCAAAAAGGTTTCTTCTCTAAGAAATTAGTGAAAATTGTTGAATTTCTTTTGATTCTTAATTACAAGAAATTCATACAATTTTTTTTCTAGGTTATGGTCGGTTTGGACCTGACCTTAAATGTATTTTCTGTATTCATTCTCATGCTTAAGTCAGAGAAATGTTTACTTATTGGCAGAAACAAGCATTAGATTCTGTTTTTAATACTATTCTGGGCTTTCAAAGTTAAGAAACACCGAAAATTATGCTAAAATCTAGCTTAACCTCAAAAACAGAATTTTAGACAGGGAAAATGTTCATGTAAAAAGGTTTCTGACCAATTTTTGACTGTAAATCAGCAATTTTTAGTTCATCACACAAATAAAAACAACTTTTCCTGCCCTAGAAAGCTTCTAAATTCAATAAATAAATGGTTTTTTGAGGTTATGGTGGAAAAAGAAGCTTTAAAGTGTGCTTTTTAAATAATTTAAGCAGAAATATCAAATGGAAAATTGATAGAATCATTGTAACTTGGCAAGAAATTTGAAAACAGGGATTTTTCATGCAAATTTTCAAGTGGTGTACAATTTTCTCCCCCTTGCGCTGGTGTGACAGTGACGGTTAGCCTTTGAATCGCCCGTGTCGAATTTCGAAGTCAAGTTCACCACATTTCACCATCGCATGAAGACATCGTCAGTCGGATCGCCAGTGTTTCTCCTCATTCTTGCTTTGACTCCACGACGACGAGAGTCTTTGTGTTTTTCCTCACTTTTGGTGCATTTTCTTGCTATTTTATCATTTACCGTCGCCTCAGTTACACCTCAAGTGCTCCCTGGCCGCGGTGGTGGTGCGAAAATGTGTGGATTTGGTGGAAAAGTGCGCTTCTGAGGGCTGGAAAGGCTGGAAAAGCGCGACGGACTGTTCCCCAGTGTGTGTGTGTCAACTCAGAGTGCCCAGAATCTGTGGTGCAATTTGTGTCTCTCTTCTTGTGTGTGCTGTGGAAAAACGGAAGTAAAATGATAATTTATCAGTTTACTGGTATGTTGAACTATTGAATAATTTATTATATTGATAGATAAGTCTTGCCTGTGACTGTGTGTGATTCGCGGCGCGAAGACGTTTGTGAAGAAAGGTGGACAAACTCGAACGGCGAGATTCATTTGCAAAATGGCTTTTTGGCTGTTTTGTTTTCCTGCCACAAACTCTCGCGCGCGCCTTTCTCTGTCACACACACACATTTGTGCAGCCCCGAGAGGCTTTTCCACCCAAGAGGGAAACTCCCAAGTGCGCGCCCCCAGGGGGCCGTTGGCATGTGCGGAATTCAGGGCTGCGGAATGCCTTTTGCATGTTGAGGCCACTTTGGAAAAGTGGGTTTCGCAAGAGATTCACTCCGACGGCGAATCATCTACGCGTGTCAATAGCACAAATAAGTGCAGAGATACACACGAAGATGAGCTCAAGAACGCCAAATTGCAGCGCATTGTGCTGCTGCCTCGGAAAAAAGGGGCTCACGCTTCGCTCGCCAGTCTTGTTCCGTTCCACTGCCTCGCCAGCGTCGGCGAGAGGCGCGGAAGAAGGGCCAAGTGGGCTTGGCGGAGGCGCAGAGTTGAGCCCTAATCAGGAAATTGCGCCCCGCGAGACACACTTTCAGTGACACGCAGGGGAGAAGGTTTCTGAGGAGCGGAAAAAGGCCAAGAAAAACACCCAAAAACAGAGAAGCAAGTGATAAAGTTTGAGATACGCCGAAGAAGTGCGGGAGGGATTTTCTTGTTAGCCACATTTCAATTGGAATTTGACTTAGATTAACCCATCAAAGCATTTCTTCTGCTCAATTTGAGGCGCTTTTTAGGTCAAAGTTCGATTTTCGAGGATAAAATGCATAAAAATCGAAAGAAATTAACACAAATCGCACATTTTTCGTATGTTTTTTTGATGGATTCCATGGATTTTTATGGCAAACCAAGGGGAAGACAATATGCCTTAAATTTGTACACCAATTTCCTGACTCTTTGCAGTCTAATTTTCAAAATATCTCAAGTTTCTATTCGATTTTTCTGTAAGAAAAACCACAAAAACCGCTGTTTTTGGTATTTTTCCAAACATAACCTAAAAATATCTTTAAAAAGACTCTAAAAATCTTTAAAAGAATTCACAAAATCATCTCTTTTTATTTGTAATAAACACAAAACTGCTGATTGAGCGTCAAAATCTTTCGGAAAGTTTTCTAAATAGACATTTTTCAAGTTCAAACGACTATTTTTGAGGTTATGTTTGACTTCAACACAATTTAAGTGTTTTTTTTTGGCATCAAAGGCTCAAAATAGCAATTTTTATTGCTTCACTGTCAATCTTTTTGACTTCAGCACAAGAATTGATGTGTTTGATTGCGAAATATTCACTAAATCTAACCTTGATTCGCTACATAACCTAGAAAAAGATTGTTTCTAGCGTAAAAATCAAGTGAAACCCAAAAATTTGGAAGAGGAGCACGTAGAAAAGGAATTTTGAACACTTCCCAAGACTTCTGTTGAGCTGTACACCACTTCTGACTGTATTATCTACCCCTTGTGTCTAAGAACGAATTTCAAATATTCAAAGAATTACCACAGAAATTTGCTTCGCTCAATTTAATTGTGATAAAAGGGGATTTTTTTTGGCAACACTATTAAAATCGAAAACAACAATTTGTCTTCCAAGAAAGTGATTAATACTTTGACTTATTTTATGTGTTATTTGTCCAAATCTCATCTCGCAAGTGATTCACTGTGAAAATACACTTTATTCTGAGAATTTCACTATTCACAGCCCCACAATATCTGTGACTGGCACAAACAAAGGGTCAGAGACGAAGGGAATCACAGCTGAATGTGTGTTTGTGTATCTAAAGAGTGCTGAAATATTATCCGAAAAAGGATTAAGTAAACAATTGTGCCCTAAATTTACACCACAGCGAGGCGAAGATAAGAAAAAAAACAGTGGGAAAACCAAAAAGAATACTTACAGAGTGAGAGTAATTTCTTCGCTCTTTGACTTTCCCTCAAACATCGCCCCAAAGCGTGCACCAATTTTCCACACACAAAACAACACACACACACAACACAAGATTGGGAAAAGAAGGTCTTCCTGGGCTTCTGAGAAGAAGGAAAAAGTGATTGAGGCGAGAGAGAGCAATTGGATTGCAACGACTTAATTTACCGAGTAAATTTTTGTTTTGATTCCTCCGCGCTCAATGATTAATTACACACAATAATAATGGCTGAGTAATTATGCTTTTTTATCCAACTTAAATTGCTCTGCACACAACCAACAAAAGTGCTCTAAATTATGAGGTCAAAATGCAGTGAAAAATCCGCTTCTCTCTTTCTTCTCTCGCGCATCGAAGAGAAGCCGCGCGGAGAGAATTTGTAATCCCTCGAGGAGGAGGAGAAGAAGAAGAATTGTGCATTTGAAAGTGTGTGAAAGATCTCAAAATTTGACTGGTAATTCCTTCTTAAAATGTGTCTTTGATCGACTAGAATTGCGCCACAAACGGAGAAGAGAGAGAGAGTCTTGGAGAATCTTGGGAAAATATCTTGGACAATGAGCGTAAATGCTATTTTAATAGTAGTGATTTACAAGTTTTTATATGCAAAAATGACTTTTGACTCTCTTGAGAAAAACTGTACTCTTTATGGGGCGTAAAAATTGGTATTATTTCTTCCGTTCTGCGTTAGTTATTTGAGAAGAATCTCTTCTTGATCATCTCGTGACAAATTTTTGCATGATTTTATTGGCAAAATTCACCACGTGAACTGTTAAGACTTCGGCTGCAGCTTCTCAAGTGCCGTTTTCGATGTGATAATTTTACCTCATAATCCACACACGCAGATTTCCTAAACCTTCTCTTCAAATTGGAAGATTGAGCGATAAGTTCTTTTTTCTTTCAAACCATCACAGGTTCCCAGAATTCAAATTATTCTAACAGAACTTCTCATGAGAAAATTCGACAATGTCTCGAAGCTAGAGAAAAAGACAACGAAAAAAAGGCCCGAATTGATGTTGAGCAGCTGAAAAAGTCAATATTTTCTCGCCGTACAAAACACAAGAAAGTCAAATTGATTTTGCAGATTTTGTCTGGGCAAAGAAGCAAAAGAAACGGCAGAAAAAATTGGCAAGATTCTGTTGTTTTCTCCCGCTAAGCACCCAAATTGACCTACACAACCCACTTTTATTTCCCACAACTCTTTTGCACATTGCTTTTGTGGACATTTTGCCATTTTTCCGTCGCTCAGTGCAAATAAAACGTCTTCTCAATTGGACAAATCCCGCGCGCGCGCGTTCTTCCATCCAAATTATATTCTTGTGGCAAATGTTTTACAGTTAAACAACTGACCAACTAATCAAGTCACTCTCTTTTGCAATAAGTCTATTTTCCTTCTCAGAAACTCCGAGACTCGTGTCTCAAGTCGTGGCGCGAGATGTTTACAATGGCCAAAGAGATCTCTCGGACTTGTTCTGCTGCTCTGCGCGCGTCTGAATGTGTCAAATGGCGATTGTGTGTCTGACTGTGTTTGTGTGTTTGTGTGTGATGGAAATTAATGATGGATAAACAATGAAATTGATTTTAATTGTCACAATTACACGCGCTAAATTTATCATTTGATATTGCGTAATTCATTAATAAAGAAACCATTTCGTGAAATTGAGGAATTTCTGATGGCGAATAAATTATAAAATAAGTTTTTTTTATTCCGTGCATTGTTTACAAATTCGTATAATAAGTCATTAACTGAGTCACTCATTAGCGTTGGTGGAGAGGAGAAGAAATAAGATTTCACACAAAAATCATCTTTTTCTTTTCCTCCACTTCGATTTGAAAGACCGGAATTGCTTTTTTCACCCAACAATGCCGTCGAAGAGTCATTTACCATCTGAACTTCGCTCTTATCCTTCCCGCATGAAATTGTCATTGTGCGGAACTCCTCATGAATGACAATGAGTTTCACTTGCAATTTTGTCACGTTGTGTTTTTAATTATCAAGTGAATTGTTTGCTTATCCTTTAAATGTTTTGACATTTTGAAAAATAAGAATTTTGTCTGAATTTACGGAGCCGATTCCCAGTCAAACATCCGAATGTTAAAGAATGTGAAACAGTGCTAGAGATTTTATAGTGAAATTTGCCAAAAATTATTCAAATACAAGTAAATAGTTGTAAAACAGCAATAAAATGTATTTACTTCAAACATTATTCATGTTCACGTTCATAAATTAAAGCCACAGTCACAGATTGATCAATTATCCAAACAATTGGAGCGATTCTCACTAAAACTGAGGAATGTTAAACTTCAAAACATGTAAAAGTTTCCCATTCGAAGTGAATAAAATAAAATACGCTTTTGTATTTTCGCTAAGAGCAAAGATTTCAGTCTGTATTATCTCTAAAACAGTGTAAGAGAAGTAAAATTGGTCAAAATGATTAAAATACGAGGTAAATCAGTCATTAAATGAATTTACTGCAAATATTTTTCATGTTTACGCCTGAAAATCAGAGCCTGAGTCACAGATTCATCTGTTTGAGAGAAAGAAATCTCGCTAAAATTGCCCTATTTTATGGAAAATACAGAATCGTTCAACAACTCGTAAAATTTGTCATGAATTCTGACACGAAATTGAACTCATCTGCTTAACAATTGGTTGGTTTTGTTATAGGAAATGCATTTATTTAGGTTAACACTACACATTTAGGCGATACAAGTTGATTTAACACACGTTGTAAAGCACAATTTCAAACCTCTTTTTACCACACGAGGTGAATTTGGTGAAATTTTAAACACAATCGCTATTTAAGGCCTTAATTGTGTGATTCCGAATAGCAAAAGTTGCTTTGAACTACTCTAACACATCTTTAACATGCCAAATTTCAGTGGAAATGAATCGTTTAGCGGTGAATAATAGTTTGCAAAAACCTCTTCTTATCTATGAATCATGAAATAATTTTTTTTTCCTTTAATTGCATGTTTGCAGAACTTAATCTCATGAAGACTTTTGCGCAATTAGTGGAGATCAAATGTCTTCATTTTCCTGGAAATCATCACGGAATGAAACTTTTGCTTTAATAGAATTCTGAAACTGATAAGTTTTGAGTACAAATTTCTCTCTCAACACTTTCAGGACATTTTCAGAAATTACCTTCCTTAATGTGAAGTGATATAAAGTTTTTCGGTTACTTCTATTTCGACAGGTTCCTCCTCCTTAGATCTTAACGTCTTTGTTGATAGAATATCAAAAATCGACATTTTCTAATTTAATATCTTCAGTTTGTCTATCAATTCTGCATATTTCCGCCAATATTTCAATAACTAAGTAATAAAATCAACTGTAAGTTAGAGAAAATATTTAAAATTCACCAATATTATCAATTTAATGGACGATAAAAGGAAATTTAAGGGAAAAATTAGTCTAATTTCGAAGAAATTTCACATATCAAACTTCAAATTGATTTGGTATTCAAGTGATCGTTTGACTGTGCGGCACTTTAACCTAGAAACGAGCAAAAAAGTGTACAAAATTAGCAGAGAGTCTCAATAAAACAATTCTTCATGAGTCAAAGTGACAAAGCTTCGCTGCTCTTTTGCATATTCAAATGATCGCGCGCGCACTTGGAAGAGTGAATATTTAATAATAATAATACTATTCTCAAGGTTTTCCACAGTTTTTCCAACTGCGAAGCTCTCATTCTGTGTGTGGATTTCCACAGAAGAGCGCAGCATCAGAACGTGATCTCGCGAAGACCCACACTCAATATTCCTCCATCAATTGTTGCCCAACAAGAGAGGCGCTCTTGTGTCTGTGAGGCGCGATACTTTGAATGGAGAATTGACTATTGAGTGTTGTACGCACTCTTCAACCAGATACATAATAATTATAGTATGTTAATCGCTGTCGTTATTTGAGATTCCGTTCAATCACTTGGCACTCAGTTTGCCTTTCCTCCGCCGGACTCGTGCGCTGATGGGATGCGAAAATATGTGCGAACGGGTGAATTTTATTAATAAAACAACCTAAACTTATATAGGCGAAAATGCAAAGTGCGTGTGTTGGTGTGTGGAATTGGCTTTCATGGTATTTTCGGGTGGGCGAGCGCGCTCGAGAGGCCGCGCGACAGTGCGAAGGAATCTTTTGCACATAGAGTCCTCAATTGAATTTAATTGAAGTATTGCGTTCTCGCAATGCCACATGAATTGGCCCAGTGTTATGTTGGCCACACAACACAGAAAATGGGATTAACGCGCGCTCGTGTCCAATTGAGCTGATGATGGTGAAAATGTCGATCGTGCGAGATGAGAAATGGTAAAATAATTGTTGAATATCAGCGGCTCTGAGAAAGAGAGGAAAAATCCAGCTGCGTAAGCAACAGCCAGAAACTCTCTTCAACTGCATTCAATATGAGAAGGAAGATTGATGAAATTGTTCGATTGTTCATTCTGAGGCGCGTCTTGTTTGGGTTCGGGTGCAAATGTTGTGCTGTTGTTGTATCTGGAATTTTGAGCAGTTGTGCGCGTCTCAATCGATGAATTTTCAACCCAAGAAGTTGTCTAAATGACAAATTAGCGCCAAGTGACCGACTTTTTATATGATTTCTCTGGGTGTTTTAAGAATAAAATGTTTGCCATTTGAATGAACAAACACAACAAAACTGTTCGCGAGTTTTTTTTTTCAAGTTCACATCGGAATAATAAATAAAAAGACCTTTTTAATCATGTTCACTTTATATTCCTCCAATGCAAATTGAACAAAACTTCACTCAGTACAAACTATGCGCGATGTTCCGAAGCGCACGCGATTGACAATAGGCGAAACCACATCTTCGCAACCAATTCACTGTGTGTATTTTTAGACTTTCCATATAGTTTTGGCTTTAACTCGCCAATGTGACATGATTCCATGGTTTGCAAAGTCGAAGAAAAGTTCAGTATGTTATCTAAACAAAGTCAAGTACGAGTTATTCCGGTAACTGAAGTCTGTTTTGCAAGACGAAAGTTTGGGAAAGAATCACTAGAAAAATTACAGGACGTCAAAAACTATGTGAAGGACGACTAATAGCCTACGAAAGTTATAATCTAACGAGTAATCTAGGCTTGAACTATTGGATTCAAAGATCTCCCTGGCTGTAGAGTCTCTTGAAGAGGACATTCTGGATCTCCATTCTCGCTTGCAACTTCTGCACCGGACGCATCTGGGACAGGTACGGATGGAGACTCATGAGGAAGTAGTAGTCATCATCCTGAGGCATTGTTATGGAAGATCCCTGGCTCTCCTCGTCGTTGTGAAGCTTCGGCGACGCAATCATTGTCTCAGTGGTCGTCGTGGTGATGATTGGCTTCGGACTTGGTGGTTTCGGCTTGGGCCTCACTGACGTCCTAGATGGCGCTGGGTAGTTTGGTTTCTTCGCAGTCGGCCTAGGCTTGAGCGGCGGCTGCTTGCGCTGACGCTGTTCCTCCAGTTGCTGCCTCAGCAGCTCCTTGGAGTCCTCAAAGCCACCATTGTACTCCGCATAGTCCTCGCCACTGTCCGCCGTGATGTAGCCTACGTGGTCGGCGTCCTCTTGTGCGTTCGACGTGCGACCGCGCATCTGACCGGCCAGGAAGCTCATCTGCTTGTAGTGAACCCACTGCGAGTGGTAGCTAGTCGGCGGGATGGTGTACTCTCCGTTGGCATCCTTGGGGATCTTCTTCATCTCCACGCGGAAAGTGTCGCGCAGCGTCTTCCACTTGGTCTTGAGCAGGCGTTCTGCAAGGGAAGAGAGCGAGCGGCATTGGGTGCGTCAGTTGCAAATGGCGCCGCACGAAGCTATGTGACTTACGTGGAATGCCGTGGCAGATCGATATGTCCGTCCAGGCGTCCTGCAGATGCTTCTTCACGGTGGGATAGTCACGATGCCAGAGCACGGGTCGATTCTTGATGTCGTCAATGAATTTATCGACATTGAGCGGCGGCGTCATGATGAACACAATTCAACACAAGTTTCCCAAAGAGTTGCACGGAACAAAGCAAGCGGACACACTGCTGCTCAGCGCAAAGACGATGTCGTACTGAAGCGAAGGGGGACGAACGCTTGTATTGAACGAGCGACGCAACGCTCTGTCCCGCTCTTGACTGTCCGACTGGCGGCTGGGCGGCGTGTGTTGCTTTCCTGCTCACCAGAGACAGCTGCGAGGCGAAGAGAGCACAGCCAGAACGTGAAGACGATGACTCTCCGTGTGTTTTTTCCACCATCGAACGCCTCTCGAGCTGCTCAAGCAGGTAGCGAACGCTTTTCCCCCTTTGCAACATGCTCGCGACTCCCTTCAATGCTGTGTGTTGCTCCGAAATATCTTCCACAGCGCGACAAAACCCAGCCATGGCGACAGAACATGCTTGCGCCGGGCAGTTTGCTATCGCGGCTGCTATCAGTGGATTTCGAGCTCTTCGCCCTCCTTTTCGGCGTGATTTCTCGACGATTCTTCACCTCATTGAGATGCTTTTTAACTCTTTTTCTCTCTCTGCCGTCGCGCGCCCTTCAAAAGTCGAGAAGGATTAGCGCAAAGCCAGCGATAAAGCGCGACTCAAATCACACTCTGCAGATGCCTTTGTTCGAGAGTCAAATGTACGGTTATTGAAATGAAATGAAAGGTTTTTAATATCAGGCGTGGTGTGTATTTTCTGCTCCAATAATTCCTCACAGTTTGTATCGATCCTGGGTGGACAAAAAGAGTGCTTTCTCCATCTAAAATGCCACTAAAACACCACCAATATTTAAACATTGTGTTCTGACACTTCCGTTTCCGTTTTTGACTCTTTCTCTCTCCCTGTTTAAATAGTGAGATTATCAGGTTTTTCTGACTAATTACACTTCATATCTGTGAAGTTTTCACAAGCATTGCAAGATAACGAGCAGAATAAATTTATCTTTCTTATCTGGAACTCATTTCGCATGACAATTGGCTAATAAAATACAGCAGAAAGTCGAGCAATGGCAAGTCAAAGACAACAAAAGTTTGGATGATAAGAAGAAAATCCTGTTTGAACACGAAGAAAAAACCACAATTTCGGCAAATTGTTGTGTTTGCTTCACAACCTTTTGATTTTCATTATGAATTCTTTAAATGATTAAGGAAGTTTTGGGTGAAATGTGTCTCGAAATTTCTCAATTATTAAATCTCTGCTTTGCATAACTTTTGAATTTTCAGAGAAAAATGAACTTTGAAAGTCTCTGTCGACGAGAAAAACAGTCTTCTGCTAATTCTCTTCTAATGAGTCGTTGCAACATTGCGTACTTCGTATTACAGTTTATAAAAACTACCAATTTGGTGTTGCAACTTTACATTTTCATAGCTGATATTTGTGGCTGAAATACAAATACAGATTTTTATGTACTTGAAAATGTTTTAGTTTTACTTGAAGAGGAACGAAGGATGTCCGGAAACACATAACCTCAATCAGGAGTATTGAAATGTGCACAAATGGCCATTAAAATCTATCTATTTTCTTGGTTTTTACGTGAATTTTTCGGCTCTTCTTGCCTTTTCTTGTCATACGGCAACGTTTGAGTCGTTATCTTGTAACATCTTTTTACGGATTGCATTTGACAGCTTATTTAAAATGTTATGAAAGTAAAGTTGCAACGACGCCTAACTATTCTTCCCATTTATTTGTTTAGCATGGAAAAACAGGTCAACAACCTTTTATTCTACCTAATTAAACCAATCCTGGGGAATTGCGTGGGGATGAAATTGAATTATTACCGAATAATTCAATAGTTCTGGACAGGGAAGTGTGTTGAAGGGACGCTTTTGGGCGAATTGGTCATTTGGCGCTTTAGCACAGAGTTCAACAGGCCGTAAATTGTGGGAATCCAAGTGGGAATTGATTCTGGAAAGAGGCCAATTGTCGGATCCAAATGACACACATTTCCAGGCGTGCGCGTGCAATTGAGCAACTCTTCTTGGCCTTTGCAGGGAAGCTCCTTGACTGAAGAGAGCGTGTGTGTGTGTGTGTCTGAAGACTGGAGAGGAAGGAAGATCTCGACGAGGAGAGCAACATGAGCGAGAAGACGAGCGAGTGTGAAGTTGGATGCGACATTGCGGGGGAGTTGAGTTCCATCATGAATTCCTCCCAAATTTCCAATGCGTCATCCGCTGATGGCCAGAGCAGAGCATCTCTCGGGATTGTTCACAATGTCCCTGGCGTGAGTAGACGATTTTCCTTTTACATTTGCTTCCTTTCCTCGGCGTGAAATTTAACCACACTCAGAGTTAAATTTTTGCATCACTTTCTGCATTGCGCGAGAAATAAGACATCCAGAGAGCATTACCAGACACCAATGGCCTAAACATGGTCGAGTATCTTGGCATGCATAAATCAATGAGTCTTCGGGCAATGTGAGACTCTGAGTGTTGTAAACTAAGATGAAGACCATTTGCCATGTTTATTCAGTATTGATTGTCGTTAAATTAAGCGCCCCGGACTTTTATGGTAATCAATAACCGATGCGAGAGTGACTAAAGATGGGTGAAAGTCAAATTTCTCCGGCACTAAACTCTATTTAGAGGGGTTCCACAAGCCCTTATTGCCGCGTGTTCTGTCTCAATTGCAATTAATGTTATAGGCGTTACTTCCTTATATAGCAGCGCGTCATGGGGAACTTTTTTCTCTTTTTTTTTACTACTTTCCTGTTGCTTAAGCATTTGCCGTTTGACCCAATTTTCTCTTGAATAAACTTTGGGAGTTTTTTTTTCCTTTTCTGGTAGCGAAGGAACGATTTTCCACAGCGTGTGCCGATTGAGATGCAGAAGAGGGAATGTTAAAGTCTTAAGCCTCTGCTTAAGAGTGTTTACAGACTTGTGGGTGAACCACGGAAGGATAAGCGAGAGTGCGAGTACGACTGAAAGCTGTTGAGCCTTGAGCTGTCAATCGTTTGACAGCTCAAAACGGAAAAATGACGGATCTCTTGCAAATGATTTCGTGGACTCTCAAAATTATTAAGTTCTTCTGCAAATCTTCAATTTTCGCAATTTTAACGTAAAATTTCACGCTTTTGATCAAATAAACAAATCAATTGACAGCTGAACGTGGCAAAAGTGGCGCTAGTGTTGACAAAGAAGAATAACTCCTGAGTGTTTTTAGCGCCAGTTCAGCCACGACTTATGGCTGATCCATATTTTAAGTGTGTAAAAGTGCAGATCAACAACGAATTATGGCTGATCTGACCTTTACACACTCAAAGCTCATCCACGGAGGATTAATCCCAGTTTTCACCGATTCAAAGGGTAACCCGCAAGTCTGTAAACGCTCTAAGATGTCGATGAACTGGAGGATTGTAACTGTTTGATTATTAATTCCTTTGCAAATAGCTTGAATTGGAATTTTCCATCTAAATTCCATGGCTTTTCCGCAGAGTTCCTGCCGCTTTCCCAAGTTGGAGGAATGCGCCCACTTTCACTACGAGCGCGTGCAATTGGCGCCCATTGATGTGCGTCTGGTGGAGGAGAAGACGGAGATCCTCAGCGCTGGATCGTCATCGTCTGGCGCGTGTAGCTTCTGGTTCATCCTCAGAGTGTCTGCGCGCGAGTCCGAGGCGTTCCTGATCAAGCGGAGTCTGGAGAATCTCATGATGCTGGACGAGATGTTCCATCAGTGCGTGTACAATCGCCAAGTCACCGGCTTGCCGTGCATCCGGGAGATCGACGGGCGGCTGTCGGAGAAGGAGACGGAGGCCCTGGTGGCGGAGTACTTCAGGCACTTCTCCTCCATTGCGCCGGACTCGATGACTTGCGGTCCGGTGCTGACGTGGTTCCAGCTGGACAACAAGGGCCGGCGACTGCCGGTGGCGGACACGGACATGCGCAACAGCATCAACACGCCGGCCGTGGGGGCGGCGTACGGCGTGCGGAAGTACGTGTCGCAGGCCTGCGATGAGATCTCGATTGAGGTGGGCGACATGATCTCCGTGATAGACATGCCGAGTCCGGCGGAGTCGATCTGGTGGCGCGGCAAGAAGAGTCACACGCAGAAGAGTCAGTACGAGGTGGGATTCTTCCCGCAGAACTGCGTCGCCACGATTGGCGAGAAGATTCCCAGACACATGCCACTGCCGGCGCCGCTCGTGGGTTCGCTGGCGCTGTCGCCGACGAAGCCAGTGCTGCGGAAGCACGGAAAGCTGATCGCCTTCTTCCGCAGCTTCATTCTCTCGCGCCCATCGCGACGGCGACTCAAGGCCAGTGGGATTTACAAGGAGAGAGTCTTCTCCTGTGACCTGAGTGAGCATCTGCTGAACAGCGAGCAGGACATCCCGATGGTGCTGAAGTGTTGTGCGGAGTTCATTGAGGATTATGGCATTGTGGATGGCATTTATCGGCTGTCTGGCATCACGAGCAACATCCAGAAATTGAGGCGGGCATTCGATGAGGAGCGCATCCCAGATCTGCAGCAATCGGACATCAAGCAGGACATTCACGCTGTGAGTTCACTGCTGAAGATGTACTTCCGCGAGCTGCCGAATCCACTGTGCACGTATCAGTTGTATGACAAGTTCGTGGAGGCGATCCAGAGTCCGGAAGAGGGTGAGGACAAGCTGAAGATCATGCGGAAGACGGTGCAGAAGCTGCCGCCGCCGCACTATCGCACACTCAAGTATCTCGCCACGCATCTGCACAACATTTCGCGCCACTCCGAGCGCACAGGGATGACAGACAGGAATCTGGCCATCGTGTGGGCGCCCAATCTGCTGCGCTCACCCACGCTGGAGTCTGGCGGCGTGGCGGCGCTGCGCGGTGTCGGCGTGCAGGCGGTCGTGACGGAGTATCTCATCACGAACTCCGAGCAGATCTTCAATGCGGAATTCACGCCGCACAGCGTCGAGGATTCCTGCCACAATCGCAGCTCTGGCGATGGTGAGTGCGTGGAGTTTGGCCAGGAGCACGATTCGCTGTCGATTGAGCGGCCGAAGAGTCTCAATGTGAGCGGCGGGACGAAGTTGATCAGTCTGGAGGAGGCGCAAATCCGACAGAATCGCATCGATGCCATGGACAAGACAATCTCTGTCAACTCTCCGCACTCCGGATGCATGTCGTACATTGAAGTGGGTGGCGGACCGAGTAGTCTGCCGGACAAGTATCACACAGTTCTGCCAGTTCCCAGGTGAGTTTCCTTGGCAGGAGATCATTGGGATGTGATTGTGAATTCCGGGGGTTTTTGCAGGAGTTGGCAGAAGAGAAAAACACACTCGTGGAAGTCAATCTTCAGCAGAACACCCAGACAGTCCAATGGAAGCACAAGTACGCCGACGTCGAAGGATATCAGGGTGATTTTGACTCCTTCCCAGGATGAGGATGACCTGAAGACCATCACTTCGCCGGATCCAGTGACGCCAATGGAGGAAAAGTCCTCCATCAGCAAGGGTGAGAATCTCTTTCGCGCTTCTTCTTCTTCTCTGTCAATCAGTGGTGAAATTTATCCTTCTGTGCTTGAATTTGCAGCCTCTGAAATGTGTGATAGGAAGCCAATGACGATGGATATCTGCATTCGGTCTAATTCCGTGGACAGCCTGAGGACAACTGGTCACAGTCGATCAGTGTCTCATGATTCCTACTTTGATCTCCTCCAATCACCTCTGCGAGGAATTGTCAACTGCCCATCGCGGGAGTTGTCAGAGTTGGGACTCAATTTTGACCGGGAGGAGCCTGAGATGCGCATCTTCTCGGAGAGTGAGAGTCTGGTGAGTAGTCCGAAGGTGGCCAAGGAGCCAGCGACGATGACTGTGCCGCGTCGTGTGCTTCGGGCGCGTCCGGAGGAGTTCACAAGCACGGCGAACAGTGTGAATCCCAGTCCGAAGAAGCAGCCTCGTCTCAACTGCCAGAGTCCACACACCTGGACCATTCCGACCATTGTCTCGGACGAGAGCTCGTGCAAGAGGTACAAACTGGAGGATCAACTGTCTGACATTCAGTTTATCGATTGCGGAACGCCCGAACACGCCACGCAATACACAAGTGCGCAGATCCACAATCCGCCAGACGCTGCTGAGTCGCCGGCGGACACTCCCACGCCCACCACCAGCACAACCCTCCTGGATGACTTCCTGGCGGACTCACCAATGCTGCTGGGCAGTGCCAATCGCTTCAGCTATCCGCAGTATGAGAAGACGGCGTTCGGGAAGTACGAGGGACGCTTCAGCTATCCCGGACACAGCAGGAATGTCAAGTTCGGCAGTGTGGCGAAGGACAAGGCGCCGGAGGAGGAGATCAAGGTGCTGGAGAAGAAGGAAGAGGTGAGCAAGAGTCTCAGTGTCGTCACGCCGCCATCGTCGCATCACAGCCCGAGATATTCACTCCTCGTGGGCGAGACGAGCTCGGAGAACAGCAGTTCTGTCACCACGACGCCCATGTTTGACGTGGACATCTCGTCATCCGCCACGAAAGACAGCCTGACGCAGGACAAGAATTCCCTCAAGGAGGTGAGTCTGCAAAATCTCTGCTTTTCACGTCACTCTTGAGCTCTCTTGAATGGATTTTTTTTTTGGGTTTCTTTGGCATGTAAAATTGAGGGTTTCAGTTTACCTCTTTTTCATCTCTTTGGTTTGCAGGATTGATCTGTGAAAAAATTGTAACTTAAAAGGTAAAAAAAAAACAGAGAAAGAATTGGAGGTGAAAATGTTTATGAATTATGTTAATTCAAGGGGGAGATATTATGGTTAGAAGTGTTGAAGAAATTGCAATAATTCGGATCATTTATTTAGAATTCCTACGGATTATTATTTATACTTTCTAGAAATCAATTCTAAGACAAAACTACATTTTGATCATCTTGACATATTTTTTTTGGTTATACTATTGCGTTACGTCAAAATAACACCGCAAATTTTGATATTCTTGTACTGAAAATGAAATTATTTCATTTATAATTAGAATTTTGCATGAAAACTTCATGAAAATAGCAATTCTGCAAGATGAATGGTAGAAAAACAGGCCAAAATCAAACATAACCTCTAAATTTTCTATACTTAACGCCTCCGATTTTGAACTTTAAAGATTATAAATGTGTGTTGATATTAAGTACACTAAAAGAGTAAAGAAAGGGATTCTCAGAAGGAAGAAAATCATGATAAACGATGTGAAAACATCCGATATTGAGGTTAGAAAGTTTATCAGTTAGATTTTAGTTAGATTTCAGTTGGTTTTAAGTCACTTTTCAGGATAATAAAGCCAACATTAGCTTCAATTGATGAATCATTTTAAACAAATCAGACTCTTTTCGGAAATGTTGAGAGGATTTTTCACACAAATTGAAATTGTGAAAGTTGTGTAGAAATATGAGCCATATTATCTCCCCCTTGGATTGATTTAATGTGTTATTAATTTTGTATTGTTGAACATCAATCTTATTATCTTGTTTAAAATGGTTTGAATGCATTTTTTAACACTTTTGAATTGCTTGAAACGCTTAAATGGAAAGCGCGCGATTGATTTTTATTGATGCATCCCAATTAATTGCTCAGCTATTTACCATATTTTATGGAGCATCGTTTTGTCAGCGATTTTACGCAAATTTCCTATCCATTTTGCGCCATTTACTTTCACTGCCATTTGATGGTCTTTAATGTCTCTCTCTGTGGGCGGAGAAATGAGTCTTTAATGGAACTTTTTTGCAGATGAAAACCGTTGACATCTTGGCGCTGAAGAGGAAGTTCTCGCTGGAACTCGAGGCGCCGAGTGTCCAGATGGATGTGGACGCGACGAAGCTGCAGCTGAGCTCACAGACGTCCGGCAACACCAGTCCGTCGATGACGCCCAGTGACTTTGACTATCAGCAGCTGAATCGCGGCGGACAGGAAGTGACGTCGCCGGAGAAATCGCCGACGGAGGTGAAGAAGGCCACAACGCCCATCAGATCGACAATAAGCATCACGTACAATCTCAAGTCGCCGGTGAAGAAGGCGCCGAGTGTGGAGAAACTGGTGCCGGAGCACGAGGATTATGAGAAGATCGAGTTCGGCGGCGGCGGCGATGCTGAGAAGGCGCCGAGTGTCCTGGAGACGGATCTGGATGAGAGTGTTGTGTATCAGTCGGTGAAGTTCTTCAAGAGTGCCGTCTCGGAGGTGAATCAGCTGTTCGAGCAGGCGCAGGAGAAGATCCTGGCCGAGGAGGTGGAGGAAGAGGAGCCGGAGTCTGATGGCAATTCCATGGTGGCGAAGGAAGAGGAGGAGGATGAGGAGGAGGAGCAGCAAATGGTACCTGACATAGATATGAAGATTATTAGTCAAAGTGATGAAAAGACTGACGGAAAAGGGATGAGCGGGAAGACATCGCCGGAAGGCGATGCTCCAATGCCACTCACGGATGACTATGAGATTAAGGACAGCCTGGAGTTCGACACGAATCTCTCGCTGTACGAGAATGTGGAGATGAAGAAGCCCGCGACGGTGTATGAGAATGTTCGTGTGGCGTCCGGAAGTGTGCTGCTGATGGAGTGCAATGCGACGGAGGAGGAGCCGCCGCCGAAGGAGGTGCAGAAGAAGGAGAAGAAGCCCAATAATTATCTGGTGAAGCAACTGGCGACCAGATTTGAGACGAGTCCCGTGGAGAATCAGCCGCCGTTTGACTTCAGCAAGTGTTCGGGTGGCAGAATCAAGAGTCCGCTGAAGAATCACATCAGCAAACCACTGGCGGAGACGCTGAAAGTCACGCGGAGTCTCGATGAGAATGCCTTCATCTGGGAATTTGGGCCGACGGCGAAGCTGACGGAGAAGTTCAGGAATCGCAGTTCACAGCAAATCCCAGAGATCACCAGTGAGAATCTGCGGCGCAAGAGTTTGGAGTTCACGCGGCCCAAGAGTCTGAATCCGCCGAAGAAGCTGCCGGATCTCACGACCACCAGCGAGGAGATCTGCAAGAACAAGCTGAAGATTGAGCTGAACAAGCTGAGCGAGGAGGAGGCGCCGCAGCACGAGCTGAAGATCACGCCGACGACGGAGAATAGGATTTCGCTGATCCAGAACAACTTCACGCTGCTGCCCGAGGAGCGCCTGAACGTGTCCATGCGCGTCCTGGGCAACTACAAGCTCGACCGTGAGCGGATTGAGAAGATCAAGGAGGAGCGGCGCCTGCAGCTGAGCGAAAAGTTCCGCAGCGAGAGCTTCAAGTCGCTGGAGCGCGACAGTCACGCCAAGTCCAAATCCAAGTCGGAGCTGCGCGAGAGCAAGGAGAACGACGACAGCTTCCGCGTGCGCTCAAAGTCGCGCGGCGAGATTCAGCGCGACGAGAGCAATCGCAGCGACGAGTTCATCTTCTCCTCGTCGCTCAGCAGGCGGATCAAGCGCAACGACGGCGCCTCGTCGCTCGACTGCGGCCTCAATCAGAGGCTCGGCGCCAAGGACGCCATCAGGGCGATCAAGGACGACTTCCAGGACGCGCCCGAGAAGAGCCCAACGAATTTCAATCAGTGAGTATCTCAGCGCCTTGCGCAAAATCTATCTTAAGACTGAATTATGACTGAATTGGCGAGACTCTAAGGCTAGTTTAAATCCTGCAGCTGAAGTTCCTTAAATCAGGCTTAAACCATATGGTCTTGGATAAAACCATATGTCTAAGAAAAGTCGAAATTTTAATGGCATTGATGATAACAACATAAAACCCTTCTTTAGTCGTGATTTATCTGGTTGTTTAAAGCTAAATTCGATAACGTAATTTTCTGAAGCGCATTAAGAAGAGTTTTAACGTAACGAATAATATACTTTATGCTATTAAGAACTAAAGGAAAAATGCCTTAAATCGTAGAATCGAATTGATATATTAGTTTTGAGGGCTTTTAAGGCCAAATTCTGAAGCCAAAATCGTAAACTCAATGATTCAAGGCTGTTCAAAAGAATCTACAAGAATAGAAGCAATTTTGGATCAACTTTTCTGAACACTTAGAAGTTCACCCGACAATCGGCAGCGGCGCTAGCGTCGATCGCATTGCAAGAAGTTAGGTTAAGTTGACTTCTATGGTTGTTTTCACTGTTTTTCTTCCTGTTTTTCTCCTTGCAGACGAGAGAAATGTTCACCCCAGTTCTCGATCAAGGACGTGACGGCCATGTTCGAGTCTCGATCGCAGAATCAGCAGTAAAACAAGGAGAAATTTGAGAATTCTGTCCTGGTGGCAAAAGAGGGTCAGAATTGTTGATGGAAAACTTGATTATTTGTGCTCTAAAATATATTTTACTTTTCGTCGCGCGTATTTTGTTTAAGAGTGAAAAGAAAGAGATAAAAAAAATCTAAAGCTTTAATTATGAAGAAGAAAAAACTTGAATGGCAAACTTTGAAAGTGAGAAAGTTGCTTATTTATCGCGCTTTTTGTACTTTTTGGCGAGTGTCTATTGAAAGATTTTATCTGATAAGAAGAGAAAAGAAGAAGAAGATTTAAGGTAAAAATTACGAATGTTTCATTTTTTTTTCATTCTTTTAATAACTGAAATATTATGTTTTATTTTAATCATGTGTAATTATTTAATAATGTGTCCTGAAGGAGAAATTTATTATTTTTTAGTGAGAATATGACGTATTGTTTTATATGTTTACGTTTAGAGAATTTCGTTTGTTCACAATTTATGCAATAGGAGAAAAAGAAAAGAAAAACATACAATAAAAGGAAAAGGAAAAATCCATGACGAAAGGCCAAAAAAAAAAAACGAAGATTGCATGAAGCATGAATAAAAGCAAATAGACTGGAAAATGTCTACCAATTTGATATTAAAAACAATGATATTAAAGTAACTTTAATAATTTATATACAATTTTTGCAATTTCCACAAACACATTGAAAAAAATGTGAAATTTTTGGAAAAAGGCAAAAACAAAAAAAAATGTTCAATGCTTTTTTCAATAATAAATTTTTCACGTTTCTATTGCAAAAACTCTCTCTTTCGAAAAGTGTAGTTGAGAGAATAAATGAATTAAAATTAGAAATGTAATCTAAATAGTGCTTCTAATAATTAATGAGAGAAAAAATGAGAAGTAAAATTTACAAAAAAAAATATGCATAATTAATTTAAAAAAAAAAAACAAATTACAATTTCATCACATTTCTCTGAACACACTTGAAAGTGTAAAACTAAAAACAAAAAATGTAACATGAGATTAAATTAAATCGTTATATTAATTTATTAAAAAAAAAAATTTCAATGCAATTTGAGTTTGTGTGAATTTTTCAGTTCAGATTTTTCTCAGTGTAAAAAATTAGCCGAGATTCCCACTAGTGACCTCTGGTGGTGGGGACATTGCAACACACCCGGTGGTGTTTTCATTGTTTTGCGGTGTTTTCTTCACAATCGCTCGATTTCCTGCCGTATTTAGACAGTGAGAAGGACTTCTTTCCTGCTCAGTACATCTAGGACAGTGTGCAGAATGTGGATCCTGAGGAATTCCTCAGGTGAGTGGGGAAAAATCGCCCGAAATCTGCAGTTGAGCGAACATAACCTCTAAATTCTGTTGTTCAGGGCATAAATTCCATGTTTCCGGCGACAAGGACATTCACACAGTGGGCAGGGATACCAGCTGCAGTCTCTACCTGGACAATGACAAGTCCATCAGCCGTCTTCATGCACATCTCAAGGCGACGCCCGAGAAACTGTTCGTGATCGACATGGAATCGCGCTACGGAATCTTCCTGAACGAGTACATTGAGCAGATCATCCGGATGCCAGCGAAGGAGGCTGTGGAGCTGAAGGCTGGCGACACTGTTCAGTTCGGGCGCTTCCACAACAGCTGGACAGTGGAGAGCACCAGCCTGAGCATCGTGACGTCTTCACTGTCGGCGAGTGAAGTGGAAAAGGTGGCGGAAGACGTGAGAATTGTCTCCGGGAGGCTGCTGGAGAGCTGGTCAAGTGACTGCACGCATCTGGTGATGGCGCACATAGTCATCACGATGAAGGTTCTGCTGGCGCTGGTCTCTGAAGTGCCAATTGTGCGTCCGGACTTCGTCACGGCGCTGGTTTTGAGCGCTCAGACGCCAGCGAAGCCTCCAAATCCCGAGGATTTCATGCCTGACATTCAGGAGGAGAACCTGAACAAGGCCACCTGCTCCTTCCACCCCGACAGTGAGCGCCGGACGGTGTTCAGCGGCAAGAGATTCATCTTCCTCAGTCAGGAAGTGATGAAGCGCTACGAAACCGTCGTTCGCCTGGCCGGCGGCAGAGCTGTGAGCATCGAGACGGACAAGCTGAGCCACAGCGCCTGCATCCAAGTCGGCACCGTCGTCGTGAGCTCCTCCAGCACGGCACCGGGTGCCAGGGAGTGGCCAAAGGTGCAGCGGATTGAGAAAACGCTGCAGGCGAACGGGCATCGCTTCATTCCCGACAAGGAAATCGCTCTGGCCATCATTTACAAGTGCACAGAGAAGTTCTGCAATCCGCTGTACAATTTCGCGGCCAACTTCCTCTTCTGCCGACCAGCCGAGAGGCCCAAAGCGGAGATCCTGGCCGAAGAGACGCCCGCAATCGAAGACTGCAAGGATTCGCCGAGGCCTCCGGAGGTCACGCTGCCGGAGACTCTTCAAGATCACGCGTCCGTGATCTTGAATGAGATTCCGCAAGCACTGGAGATCCCTGAGACTCTGCCGGAGCCTCAAGTGGAGCCGCCCAAGGCGGAGAAGAGGAAGCGAAGCGCCTGGACGCGAGTAGAGAAGGATGCTGGGCCATCGAAGAGGACAAGATCTGCAGCTGTGGCGCCAGAAAGGCGGCGTCCGGAAAGTCCATCGCGCGAGAAGAGAAAGCTCAAAGATCTGCTGAACAATTCACCCGAAGAGGAGTTCAGCATTGTGGTGAAGAGAGCCCGGAAGAAGGCTCCGGAAGCTGTTATTCCCAAATCCCAGCCGGTCAGGAGTTCAGCGCGAAACAAAGGCCAGGAATCTGCGGCTGTGTCGCTCCCAAAGCCGCCAACGTTCGCTGAGCCGGTGAAGATTTCGCGCTGCGAGATGAAGTCGACGGGTTGGCTGTCGAAGAAGTTCTCCGAAGCCAGTCTGGAGGAGAGCGAGAAGGAAGCGGAGAAGAGCGGCGACTGGACGGATTCGCTGAAGGCGTGCGTGCAGACGAAGCTGATGGACAGCAGCTTGGCTGATGAGTCGTCGAGCGACTCCTTGAGCAGGAAGAGCTTCAAGGCGTTCAAGAGGAAGTCGTCGTTCGTCGCCCAGAAGATTGTGGAGCAACTCGTCCAGGTGGATTCCGGAAGGGGCGAATGAGTGAATTCCTGTTCTTTTCCGCTGGTTTCGAAATAAAGCTGTTTTATCTGAACTTAGAGCATTTCTCAAGGTGAACAAAAGGTTGATCTTTCCGTACTTCGAAAACTCAAGGACCAAAAACGCACATTTTTCCCTCCAGATTATGAGATTTTTTTTTTTTTTGCTAAAATTTCTGCAGATTAATAACTTTCGAGAATCTTCAATGGCAATTTTTGAATTATTTTTCCACATAGGAAAATTCTTATGGAAAATCTGGTGGAAGTTTTTGACGAAACGAGAATTGTTTGTGTTAAATAAGTTTAGATGTTTTTTTTCCTGTTTTGTTTTTAACGCTTCTTCGCAACATTTTTATTTCTCTTTCAACAGAATTCCAATTTTAATTTCACTCCAAATTTCAAGGAATATTTGCAGTTATTTTGCAAGATTATCTTTAAACTTTCACCTTCCGCAGCTTCTTGTGTTTTCTATCGAATATTTAGGAAATGAGTGGAAAATTCAATGGAAATCTAGGATTTTCACGTGATGCCAAATCACCATTCTTGATATCTTTGAGAGGTTCGAGAGTATATTGTGCTTGTTGAGCGCATCAGTTGTCAGTGTTGTAAAAAAGATTTTCCAAATTTTGGTGTGATAGAATATCCAATTTCGGAAATTCAGACGAAGTGTTGTTTTCCGGATCGAATTGCACAACTTCCTATAAAACGGATAAAAAAAGACAAATTATTACAAGTTAAAACTTTCTAAAGTTGCAATTCTAATTACCCCTGGAAACATTGAAGCACATAGAATTTTCTCTCCCACAAGAACAGATGTAATCTGACCAGAAATATAGAGCGACGCCACGATAGTCCACAAATTTGCCCTGGGATCGTATCTCTCCACGTATGATAACTCTCTATTCTCGTGGTCGAACCCGCCGAAAGCATAGATGTAGTCTCTGGTTGCTGTCACTCCCATAATATATCGTCGTTTCACCATGGGAGCCACAAGCTCCACTCCTTCGTTTGCGGATCGTAACACTGAACAGAATTAAGACATCGTTTCTCCTCAGTGATTCCGCCGATCACGAACAATTGTCCTTCGAAGGCTGCGGCTCCAGCGCTGTATCGCTTAGTCTGCATCGGAGTTTCCATGTTCCAGATTCCGTTGCTCAGATCCAATCGCTCCACTGTGTTCAGGAAACTGTTTTTACTATCTTCGCCACCAAACACATAGAGAAATCCATCCAGAACTGCAGCACAGATGTAAAAGCGACTGTAATTCATCGGTGAGAGGCTGCAAGAGAAGATATTTATGTGGATAAAAGATATTAAATTTGCGCTTCCTTTTAGAAACACTCACGATTTTAGTGTCTTGGTTTTGATATCAAAACTGTCCACTTTCTTTGAATCTTCATCATCTTTATACCCTCCAATGAAAATTATATTGTTGTTCGCAAGAACTGTTATACAATTATTCCGACTGATCCCAAATTCCGTCTCAAGTGTCCACTGCTTGGTTTCAGGACAATACGATCTGAGGCCATAATAATTCCTGGAACTACCCATAGTCACAGCCAACAACTTTCCTTTTCCTGATCGACGAGACTTCTGGTTGGGCATCAGATCACGGCGTTCCGGAATGAGTTTCCACTCAAAAGCTTTCATCGCCAAATCCAGGCAATTCGTGCTCTCGCACAGCGGCTTCACCTGATCGATGATAACCTGCCAAAGGAAGAAAAGAAAGCACTATTGGAGAGTTGAGAAACAAGAACTGAATCATCAAATTTAACCTCGGCAGAAAGATGGTGAAGTGGAATGAGCACCAAAAGACCGGGAATGTAAACCTTCCGCTTCTCGGAATCGTGCTGAAACCACGCCAGCAACGCACGGAAGACGTCTTCCTCAGATGGCACGTTGAGATCATCGCTGGCCAGCAATTTGCCCAGTTGCTCGGCGGAGATCTGAAGGAACTCCTGCTTCTTGCACACTTCGAGAAAATGCTGGTTTGCGTACTTCCTTGCCGCTTCAAGAAGAGCGTCACAACTGTACTGATCGGCAAACACAGCGATTGCCAGGCAGTTTGAGGGACTGAGATGACGTTCCAGGAAAGCACCGCAATCTTTTACCACGCTTTTCAATTGAAGGAGATTTGCCGAGCTCATGAGCGTCTTCACGGATTCCACAGAACTTTCCTCGCTCAGTTCTAATTCTCCTGTGTAGCAGAACTTCACCAGACGCCGAAGATCGTCTCCGGGAATCTCGTTCAGAATCACTTCTTCTTCCCGAGTCTCCCGGAAGTCTCGCGTGAACATTGCTTCGAAGTAATCAGAAGCCGCTGACAGGACATTACGATGAGCTGAGATTCTGTGAAGGAGTGACCAGGATGAGATTCCCAAGAAGCCAAGATAGTGGAAAACTGCGAACTCACCTCTGCTTATCTTCTCCAGCGATCAGAATCACGTCGCAAAGCGTCTCATTCTCCCGATATAACCACATTTTCTTGCTTGCGCGCACAACGTGATCCTGGGAAGATTCCTGATCTTTTCTCTTGTCTTGCGAACTCGAGCCTTCCATTCCGCAGCTTTTCCTCTTCAAATGATATCTGTATTGGCACAATTCAGCTTCTAATTTCACAATTCCCGACACTTCCTTTGTTCAGACACGCACTGTGATAACGCCCTAAAATGCTTATCAGCGTTATCAGCGATTTGCAATAATAGCTTATTCAGCAGCATTCTGCGGGAAATCCCGCTTAAGCCGGAAATAATCGGCAACGCATTAGACTTTTCATTCCTTGTTCTTTGCATGCTTCTTCTTTTAGGACATTTTTTTCCTCTCTTAGTCGTTGGGCAGTTTTTCCTCTGAGATTCGTTTTAGCATTTGAAATCCGTTCATTTCCGATATATCGCTGTCGATTAGTATCGATATATCGCTACTAGAATTCAGCTTTTCTGCCCATAAATATTTCTCCCGCTCGTTTTCATTCCAGCCCATTCGCTACTGGGTTGGCATACTGAACGGACGTGTGTTAAATTTTGCTGCGTGAAAATATCACGTATTTGTAGTCAAAGCCGCTTTTTCTGCTGAGGTGACTTGAGGAATTTCGTGAGAAATGCTTTTTGGGCAGCCACCGATGGAGGGGACAAGTGCCCCAGGGTGCTCTCATGAATTGGGAGGTTGCGCGACTAGTACGAACGCGGGAGGTGAAAATGGCGTATTTTCACTGGTCAGCAGAAAAGCCTCTCTAAGATTTCCCCGTTTGTGATCGAAAAGGAGCTCAACGTCTTTGGAGAGGTTACCGAAATCATCAGACGAGCGGACGGCAAAATACTGATTGAGGCGATCAATCGTAATCAAGCAGAGCAATTAGCCACGCTAACCTCACTTTCGGGTCACGAAGTATTGATTACGATGGATATACCTATGAATACAAGTAAGGCGATAGTCCGGGACGAGGATATGATCTATTGGAGTGAAAAGGAGATGTTGGAAAACCTCGCCAGCCAGGGTGTGATTGCGATAAAGAACATCAAGTCCCGACGCAGGATTGCCCGCGGTGGCATCCCATTGGAAGGAAATAAAGAGAGTGAGTCGGGGTGGTACCCCACTCCTCTGTTCATCGTGACTTTCAACTTGCCAAGTCGCCCTCAATTCCTGAAAGTAGGGTATGTGACGCTTGAGACACGTGATTACATCCCGGACCCGATCCGTTGCTTCCAGTGCCAGCAGTTTGGGCATTTCCGGACTTCTTGTAAGAATGCGGCTATCTGTGTTCGTTGCTCAGAGGCGGAGCACCGTCCGAATCCGTGTAAATCAGGAATTCGTTGTTCAAATTGTGGAGGACCTCATTTTGCGTCATGGCGAATTTGTCCAGTGTACAAAGAGCAGTATGAGATTCAGAAAGTTGCGGTCTCGTTCCGAGTTCCGCTGGTCACGGCCAAGCGGATTTTTAAGAACTATTCGGGAAAACATCTTACGATGGTGGAGGAAATCGCCAGAGGAATGAATCCTTCGACGGAGTCTGTGGGAGGAAGTTGCCAGTGTACCTGTACATGCAGTCGCTGTAAACCAGAGAGAATGCTGCAGTCATTTGTTCCTTCAAGTGCTGTGGATTCACTAACGGAGGAGAGCAATGCGTGTCTTGATGCAAATGCGGAATCGACTTCTTCAGTTATCCCGGCGCCGATCTCAAATTTAGGTTGGACGATCTCCAATTTGGATGTGGATCGGAATTGCTTGACAATGGAGGAGGATCAAAGAATGGAAGAAAGCCAGACGTCCACCGCCAGGGAGGATGGCAGTGAGCAAAGTGCTAGGACTCGCAGCAAGAATTCGAAGCGGAAAGCTCGCAAGGTGATACATTCCCGCTCTGGGAAATCGCTCAGGTGGGAGAAAGTGCCTGGTGTCCGGAACAATCGGCCTGAATCGACTCAGGATCACCGTTACTCCAAGAGTGAAGCCACTTGGAATTAAGTGAGTGCGTTGATTAAGTTCATAACGGAATTTCTGGCTGATGACAAAGGCAATGTATCTGATATGCTCTGAGTTTTCACCCTTCCGGTGTCATAATTGAGAAGTCATTTTAATTTTCATCTAAGAAGTTTTAAAGAAATGGAATTTGTTCTGAAGCTAAATGAATTTATATCTCTTTTCTTGAATTAAGCGAAATATGTTAGAGATTTAAGGCAAGAACTGTCATTTATATTATGAAGTCTGAGATTTCTGTTAGTTTCTGCTTTCTTTATTATCAATACGGCCACGGGTATTTTTGCCCCTATGGCCTATTGTTTGTTAAGGCGACTGAAAGTAGATTAGACGTTAAATTATGTGATGACTATTTGTTAAAAACGATTGAGAGATGATTAGATGATTTGAGCTTAAGATGTTGGGGAGATAGTTTTAAGAATCAAGTAAGGCTTGTGAAAATAAGTGAGTCTGTTGAGAAATATTTGTGATTCCGCTTCACATGTCTGTGAAATGTTTAGATTCGCTACTGGTTACGATACGTTTGAACTATATTTTGACCCTTAGGGTGTGTTAGTTCTGTGAGGCTGTGGAGCTGAAGGCTGGCGACACTGTTCAGTTCGGGCGCTTCCACAACAGCTGGACAGTGGAGAGCACCAGCCTGAGCATCGTGACGTCTTCACTGTCGGCGAGTGAAGTGGAAAAGGTGGCGGAAGACGTGAGAATTGTCTCCGGGAGGCTGCTGGAGAGCTGGTCAAGTGACTGCACGCATCTGGTGATGGCGCACATAGTCATCACGATGAAGGTTCTGCTGGCGCTGGTCTCTGAAGTGCCAATTGTGCGTCCGGACTTCGTCACGGCGCTGGTTTTGAGCGCTCAGACGCCAGCGAAGCCTCCAAATCCCGAGGATTTCATGCCTGACATTCAGGAGGAGAACCTGAACAAGGCCACCTGCTCCTTCCACCCCGACAGTGAGCGCCGGACGGTGTTCAGCGGCAAGAGATTCATCTTCCTCAGTCAGGAAGTGATGAAGCGCTACGAAACCGTCGTTCGCCTGGCCGGCGGCAGAGCTGTGAGCATCGAGACGGACAAGCTGAGCCACAACGCCTGCATCCAAGTCGGCACCGTCGTCGTGAGCTCCTCCAGCACGGCGCCGGGCGCCAGGAAGTGGCCAAAGGTGCAGCGGATTGAGAAGACGCTGCAGGCGAACGGGCATCGCTTCATTCCGGACAAGGAAATCGCTCTGGCCATCATTTACAAGTGCACAGAGAAGTTCTGCAATCCGCTGTACAATTTCGCGGCCAACTTCCTCTTCTGCCGACCAGCCGAGAGGCCCAAAGCGGAGATCCTGGCCGAAGAGACGCCCGCAATCGAAGACTGCAAGGATTCGCCGAGGCCTCCGAAGGTCACGCTGCCGGAGACTCTTCTAGATCACGCGTCCGTGATCTTGAATGAGATTCCGCAAGCTCTGGAGATCCCTGAGACTCTGCCGGAGCCTCAAGTGGAGCCGCCTGTAAGGAGTATGTTGGCAACACTGAGGTGTTGCCAGACATGTAGGCAGTTAGCCATTGAAGGCCCAAATAAATGGACGCGGATTCGCCACACCTGATCTAATTATTATTACATGGTGTCAGAAGTGGCCAATTCGATGCCCACGAGTCCGTAAATGGCAGATGAACCACCAGAAGTTCCAGTCGCAGTAGTAGAACATCGCATACAAGCAATGCAGTCGAATAAAGTGTCAGTGAAACCTCCAGCACACATTGAACTGGGAAACAATAATCGCCAAACATGGAAGAACTGGGAAAAAGCGTTCGATTGGTATTCGGAGGCTACACAGCTGTATGAGCAACCAGGGAGAGTTCAAGTAGCAGTCCTCATGCGATCTCTGGGTGACGCTGTTAATGATATCTTCGACAACTTCGAGCTCTCGGAAATGGACAGTCGAAATATCAACACAGTGAAGCAAAAGTTCCGGGACTATTTCGCGCCATGTGAGAGTGAGATTTATGAGTCGTTTCACTTCAACAACTTGACTCAAGGCGTAGACGAGCCCATTGACGACTTCGTGACCAAAATCAAGACTCAGGCAGCAAAGTGCAGCTTCCCACCGAATGCAAAGGATCGTTTGGTGCGTGATCGACTAGTTCATGGTCTTCATTCGTCGCAAATGAGAGAGGCAGTCCTGAGGAAGTCGAATTTGACCTTGGAGCAAACGGTCGCCATTTGCAAGAGTGTCGAAGGAGCCGCTAAACACACTCAAGCAATGGTAGCGCCATCTAGCGTGAAAAGTGAAGTGTTTGTGGTGAAAGAAGAGAAAGCGGAAAAGAAAAACAAGAAGGAGTTCGATTGTGGACGCTGTGGGAAGAAACACACGGCCAGAAATTGCCCAGCATACGGGAAAAAGTGTGGAAAATGTGGCATCAAAGGGCATTTCGCGGAAAAGTGCAGGAAATCAGAAAAGAAAGTGAGGAAAGTCGATGAAAACTCAACTTCCGGGAGTGAAAATGAGAGTGAGAACGTCGAGGAACTTCGAGTGCACAGCGTGAACAGTGGTGATACAGATTCCTGGCAATGCATCATCTCGGTGAATAAGAAGAAGATCAGAGTGAACATTGATACAGGGGCTCAGTGCAACGTAATCACCCAGAAAGTGCTCCAAAAGGTCGGCGGCGGCGACATTACGCCCACTCGAGTGAAGAGACTTGTAGCGTACAACGGAGGGCGCATCAAAGTGCTCGGAAAAGTGCTCCTGAGCTGCACAATCCGCAAGAAGCAATTTCCGCTGTGGTTTAACGTCATTTCTGGAGAACGGAACACAGTTATTGACGGACGTTCTGCTGTCAAAGCGGGACTCATCGCTCGAATCCATCACATTGACTTGTCGGAGGAAATATTTACTGGATTGGGCGAAGTCAAGGATTTTGTGTACGACGCAGAGTTGGTGGACAATCCAATCTTCGTCATTCACGCAGCCAGATCGATTCCCTATACATTAAGGGACGCAGTGAAGAAGGAGCTGGACGAGATGACCAAGCAAGGCGTGATCGAGAGATGCAGGGATGCTTCAGACGCTGTCTCACCAATGGTCATCGCTAAACGCAAGGGCAAGTTGAGAATTTGCATAGATCTTACAGATGTAAATCCAAACATTAAAAGGAGGCATTTTCCACTTACAGGTATTGATCTCGTAGCAGCTAGGGTGGCAGGCAGTCAGAGATTCACAATTCTCGACTGTAAAAAAGGGTTTTGGCAAGTAAGACTTTCGGAAAAGACGTCGAAATTG